ATGAGGAGGCATTAAAATTCATTTCAAGGTCTAACCTTTAAACACTTAACCAAATCAAGTTTAATACCTCCTGCTTTACAAAAGAGCCCTGTACATACAAATATTTACAAAAAAATAGAATACATTGTAAAAAACATTTTAAAAAAAGCTTTAAAAAAATAAAAACTAGATCAAAATGAACAGAAGGCCTTAAATATTAAACATTTAAGATATTATTGATACAAAGAAAAATGACCAAAAAAATATTTTAAAAAATACACATGCCGTAAAATAGACTACACAACTGCAAACAGACAAACAAACAAAACTAATTTATGGTAAAAGTCATGATATAACATTAGGTACCAGTGCATGCATTAAAGTGATAGAGGGAGTGACTTAATTTGGTTTTTTAACATTTGGAGTGAAGTTGCCGTGCGAATATGAGTCGGTAGATTGTTATAGATGCTTGGAGCAGTGAAAGAAAAAGAACGTTTTTTAAATTCAGTCTTTGGTTTCAGGATAAATAAGGGATTTAAGGTAGAATGACAAGTAACAAAGTAAACTGGACGATTATGACCAAAAGATTCTAAATAAGGGGCTAGATTATTGAGTATTTTGTAGACGAAAATGCAGTAGTGGTAATTGATTCTATTTTCAACACTTTGCCATTGAAGACTGCTTCACGCAATTAAGTGTTGAATTAAGATTATAAAAACAGAAAAATATGGGGGAAAGCATATCAAATATTCTACTGCATGAAATTAATGAAATATACAGAAAGGGTATAGATTTTACTAAAGAAGTTGACCTGTTTAACTGCGAAGGGTATCAAAGTTACTCTGAAAAGAGCTGGTGATTTTCAGACAATAGGCGATGAGGTGTGATCAAAGAACCATACCAGGCGTTCCTTGCATAGTCTAGCTCTGAATCAATATTTTATTGAGCATATTAATGTTAGATATCTATGCTACAGTGAATTTTCACTATTAATACAATCTACATGTACATGTATGTAACCTCACTCACCTTTGTCAGGCAGCTGTTTCACTGTAAATCCTTCAGGATCAACTTCACTAAAAATATCTGGAACTGTCTGTCTGGTTTGACTTCTGAGAATCCGATTCTGAAACAGGTCAAGTAAATATTAGTAATATTATGCAGATACACAGCTGTGAGCAAGCTGGAAGAAAATATCTAAATATTACACCCCCCCCCCCCACATCCTCCCCCTTATCATACTGGAATTTGCCAAAATATTGCTACTCATATCCATGCTCAATTTTATTATATTATTTGTTAAAATCATGAGGTATTATGAAACACATCCATTATGATGTACATCAAGGGGGTCATGTAAATACATGGCTCCACATTTCCCATGCACACATCTTATCATATTTGACTCATTTGCAATAGATATAGATTGCTCCACATTTCCTATGCGCACATTTATACATATCTAGCCCATATGCAATAATAAATGTGGCTCCACATTTCCCATGCACACATTTATACATATCTGGCTGATGTGTAATATATATAGATATGGCTCCACATTTCCCATGCACACATTTATACATCTTCAATCCACCTTAAATAGTTGAGATAAACATGGCTCCACATTTCCCATGCACCCATTTATACACATCTGGCCTATATGTAATATATAAATGGCTCCACATTTCCCATGCACAAATGTATAGACATCTGGCCCATGTGTAATATATATATAGATATGGCTCCACATTTCCCATGCACACATTTATACACATCTGGCCCATTTGTAATATATATATATGGCTCCACATTTTCCATGCACACATTTATACACATCTGGCCCATGTATAATATATATAGATATGGCTCCACATTTCCCATGCACACATTTATACAAATCTGGCCCATGTATAATATATATATATATATATGGCTCCACATTTCCCATGCACACATTTATACACATCTGGCCTATGTGTAATATATATATATATAAGGCTCCACATTTCCCATGCACACATTTATACACATCTGGCCCATGTGTAATATATATATGGCTCCACATTTCCCATGCACACATTTATACACATCTGGCCCATGTGTAATATATATATGGCTCCACATTTCCCATGCACACATTTATACATCTGGTCCATGTGTAATATATATATATGGCTCCACATTTCCCATGCACACATTTATACACATCTGGCCCATGTGTAATATATATATGGCTCCACATTTCCCATGCACACATTTATACACATCTGGCCCATTTGTAATATATATATATATATGGCTCCACATTTTCCATGCACACATTTATACACATCTGGCCCATGTATAATATATATAGATATGGCTCCACATTTCCCATGCACACATTTATACACATCTGGCCCATGTATAATATATATATATATGGCTCCACATTTCCCATGCACACATTTATACAAATCTGGCCCATGTATATATATATATATATATATATGGCTCCACATTTCCCATGCACACATTTATACACATCTGGCCCATGTGTAATATATATATGGCTCCACATTTCCCATGCACACATTTGATACATCTGGTCCATGTGTAATATATATATGGCTCCACATTTCCCATGCACACATTTATACATATCTGGCCCATGTGTAATATATATATGTGGCTCCACATTTCCCATGCACACATTTATACATCTGGCCCATGTGTAATATATATATGGCTCCACATTTCCCATGCACACATTTATACACATCTGGCCCATGTGTAATATATATATATATATATGGCTCCACATTTCCCATGCACACATTTATACATCTTCAATCCACCTTAAATAGTTCAGATAAACATGGTTCCACATTTTCCATGCACACATTTATACATATCTGGGTCATGTGTAATATATATATAGATATGGCTCCACATTTCCCATGCACACATTTATACACGTCTGGCCCATTATATATATATATATATATATGGCTCCACATTTACCATGCACACAGTTATACAAATCTGGCCCATGTATAATGGCTCCACAGTTCCCATGCACACATTTATAAGTCTTCAATCCACCTTAAATAGTTCAGTTAAACATGGCTCCACATTTTCCATGCACACATTTATACATATCTGGGTCATATGTAATATATATATATATATAGATATGGCTCCACATTTCCCATGCACACATTTATACACGTCTGGCCCATTATATATATATATATATATGGCTCCACATTTCCCATGCACACATTTATACACATCTGGCCCATGTGTAATATATATATATATATATATATATGGCTCCACATTTCCCATGCACACATTTATACACATCTGGCCCATGTGTAATATATATATATATATGGCTCCACATTTCCCATGCACACATTTAAACACATATTGCCCATGTAGATCTATATATATATGGCTCCACATTTCCCATGCACACATTAATACACATCTGGCCTATGTATAAAATATATAGATATGGCTCCACATTTCCAATGCACACATTTATACAAATCTGGCCCATGTATAATTGCTCCACAGTTCCCATGCACACATTTATAAATCTTCAATCCACCTTAAATAGTTCAGTTAAACATGGCTCCACATTTTCCATGCACACATTTATACATATCTGGGTCATGTGTAATATATATATATATAGAGAGAGAGAGAGAGAGATATGGCTCCACATTTCCCATGCACACATTTATACACGTCTGGCCCATTATAATTTATATATATATATATATATATGGCTCCACATTTCCCATGCACACATTTATACAAATCTGGCCCATGTGTAATATATATATATATATATGGCTCCACATTTCCCATGCACACATTTATACACATCTGGCCCATGTGTAATATATATATAGACCCTATATGGCTCCACATTTCCCATGCACACATTTAAACACATATTGCCCATGTAGATCTATCTAGTTATGGCTCCACATTTCCCGTGCACACATTTATACACATCTGACCCAGATTATTATGGCTCCACATTTCCCATGCACACATTTATACACATCTGGCCCATGTGAGTTATATACAGATAGGCCTAGACCTATGGCTCCACATTTCCCATGCACACATTTAGGCTAAATCTGGCTGATGTGAAATAGACCTTCGAGTTCGAATCTAACGTTACTAGATATTCCTTTAGTTTAACTCTAAAGTTAGGCCTAAGAAGAACTTATACTAGACCTAGATCTACTACTACTAGTAGCCTAGACTAGTAGTACTAGTCTAGGTCTAGGCCTAACGTTAGGCCTAGATCTACATCTTACTTAGATCTAGACCTAGATTAGATCTAGACTTTGTATGACTATGAGTTTTTTTGTACCCAATATCATGAATAGAACTAGATCTATAGGCCTAAGGAATTCTTTAAAAAGTTGATAGAATATTAATGGGCCTAGACTGGATTAAAAATGAAAGTAAACTTTCTAGATCTAGACTAGTTCTACTTACTTTTGCCAGTTGTGGCTGTACTAATCCCGCCATGACATGTCCATATACGTTAACAGGCACGTCGCAAGGTGCACTGCACCAGCACTGCGCATGCGCTGCATCTAATAAGATACAGACTGTGCAGTGTGTATCCTCATGCTGGCGCTCTTCACTTGATATTATTCTTGAGATCGGAAAATAATACACATATTCAGGCTGCAAGCTATGACTCCAAAGTGGGAAACCGGGGATGGGGTTAAATCGCAGCCGAACGTTGATGGGGTACTACTGAGATGTCCCAAAGCTGATTTAAATCTCGTTTTAATGATTCTGCAACTGTGGAGCTCCACGGTTTGCTGTGTCTCCACAGTTGGAAGTTGTGTATTCATATGAACCTCCCCGATTGACGGTCATTACAAGTGCACACACACACACACACGCATATGGACACCTAAATCCTGCAGCAAAGGTTGTAGGAAATTTCAGTTCACTTTTTTTAATTATTTATATCATGTGTCAACTTGTCTTTTTAACAGGCAGCAGTGACTCAAGATGGGTTGTGCATCTTCAGCTCAGCAAGGCCCAAGCGTAAGTTGTTTTCTTAGTCTTTGATCTTTTGGAGATCTTCTAGAGATCACAGCATTGGTGATGTGGATGTCTTTAGTTTCGACTCTTTCACCTATTTGTCCAGGGAAAAAATACTTTAACAATTTAGGGGGCTATATACTTTTCAAGCTTGCTTGCATGAAAATAACACTCTTTAATCTGTTTTGCATTGAACTCTATGCAAATTTTTTTTGGGGGGGCTCTTTTATCACTTTTGGGGGCTAATTCGCTCCGAGCCCCCATTTATTTTTTTCACTGTATTTGTCAATTGAAATTACATCTGTCTATAGAGTACCGTGCGGGTACTCAAGCATTCGACTACACGTCGCAGCCCTAATTCATTTGAAAGGGATATGATTTTGGTAATTCTAGTTTATTTTTGTTTTATTTTAAATATTCAGAAGATATTAAACAAGTGAAGAGAAAATGAAAATAAGGCAATCTGTTTTACAGATTATCATTGTACAATCTTCCTACACTGAAGAATGTACAGTATGTACTACTGAGAGAAATATTAGTGCACTTTGGAGGGTACAATAAGAATGAAATGCAAAAATCAGCATGATGGCATCACATTCATTTCATATCTCATTGTCCCTCTACCTTTAATAATTTACAGGCATATCCAAAACAGCCTCCTAAGGCACCTCCACCTCAGCAACAACAAGTTCAACCACAGAGAGCTAACCCTCCACCACCACAACCACAAGCACAACCTCAAGTACATGTACACCAACAATCTATGCAGATGAGTACATCGACAGGGCCACCACCAGTACAACAGCAACCACCACCTCCTCCTCCACAACAGACAGCAGTAAGTGTTTCATGTGCACCATCTCATTTTGTTGGATCTTGGAACTTTTTTTCAGATAGATCTGCATGAGAAAAAAGGAAATAATACAGGCATTATCTGGAGAGTTCTGGTGGGATTGTAGCTTACATATACTTAATTCTTTGACATTACATGGCCTGTTCTATTTCTTGATGGGCCTTAAGAATTGGCATTCAAGCTTCCAATAGATTGATCTTTTTTATTGAAAAATTAATCACAATTGAATTATATGTACGGCCAGTAGTCTTCAAATTTAAAAATACGATTTAGAATACTGGGTATAATCGTACTTGCAACTGTCTCATTCAGAGCTTTATCAGATGTTTTGGATGTTTAGAGACTATGACTTGGACCTTGATATTGTGTACAGCTATTGTATATTCATACAATCTTAAGAAAATGACATGCATCACATAGAAATGCAGTCAAATCCTGGCTAATTATGAGTCCTTCTCTCTACATGTATACCCACTGAGACACATTTCATGACATTCTGTTTTCTGTTCTTGATTTATCAGACTCCCGAGCATGCTGACATCACTGAAGAGCTGGTGAACTCCCTCCTTGAGCTTGATAGTCAGATTGCCATGCTTGAGAGCCGTAACGTCTTCAAGCAGTATCAGATGAAAAAGGAACAGAGCCAGAAGGTGGACGGACAGGTCAAATCAATGACGGTTATGCATCAACAACTTGATGCTCAAACGTAAGTACTTTCATTAAAGGTAAAGACCAGTATTGGAAACGCCCCAATTTCACAAAATGAAATGGAAGCTCTTATTACCAATCATGTGAAAGAATATGTTTTGACTAATACATGATGATACAAATTTTGCCGGGAAACCGCCTACTAATTGTTATATTTGGTAAATTAGTTTATCTATTGGTGTGTGAGAGATAAACGCACGTGTCGCGCACGTGTCCGTATTCCCATATACATCTTTCTGTGTACAGTGCTTGTAACTTTACCCAAGACTGGGCCAAATTTCTTGTCATTTTGATGATTCCAGAACCTTGCAGTACACACCAATAATTATATGCTAGATGATCAACTTTTTCTGATCCATTCCACAACGTTTCTTTCACAATACAATCGCATGACCATAACTGGTCTTTACCTTTAATGTCACATGACATGTTAGTACACAGGTTACAGGTTTTTTCTTCTTCTCTTTTCCTCATACGAGGCATTTTATTACTTTATATCATTTTAACAACATTGCTTATAGAGTTTGATTACAACAATATACATACAAAATCAACAGACTGATAAAATAAAATAGGGGGGGGGGGAGCAAAAAGATAGTGGAAGGGGAAGATCAAGGCATGAATAAAAATGAGTTAAAGGCTTTCACAGGTTAAAGGTAGATGGAGCTTGAATGTCAATAAGATGGTGAAAAGAGACAGCTCTTGTAAAAACCAAAGCAAGAAGAAGGATAAAAAAAATGATTTTCTCAGCGTTTGGGTACATATTTAGCATAATCCAGGAGCACTCAAACTTTCATTTATTATTACTCCGGAGTAACGTAACAAGTGATCTGTACTGTTAGCTGGCAAATTTATCATCCCCCGCTTTTTTAACTGGTATTTTACCATGCTTTCTTCTTCAAATTTTAAAAGGAATCAAGAAATAATAGTGCTAGAGATTGAAACTGATAATAAACATGATCTTGATTTTGAAAAAGAAACAAATATTACTTATTTTATACATTTTTGTTGTTGTTTGCATAGGAAAAAAGAATATGAAGATGTGGTGAACTTGCAGCACAACACATCAGTGCGACAGATGTGGTCTCAACAACAGTTTGATGCACAGATGAGCAAAGAACAACAGGTAAAGTGTTCAATGAAGTTGTGGGACACAAAATTTGCTAGCATACATTTAATGAGCACAGACCTCTATAATTTGATTGGCAAATATGACCAAAACACATAACACACAAACAAAATAATGATGAAAATAAAAAAAATCTACACTGCCTATGCAAATATGCCTTTAATTATTGTAGTCAATTTACGTGTAAATTAGTGCATAAATGTAGCAAGTCTTACATGTACTTTAATTGTCATTTCATTATCATTATCTGAAGTTCCACAGAGATCTGTTTAAATGTATGTGCATGTACATTATGAAGTTTATGCTTGTTTTACTTATCCCTTACTTTGTGTTTTCCCCACACTTCTTACCTACAGTATATATGTGAATTATACATGTGTGAAGATGACTCTATCCAAACAGTGATTACAAAAGTATCAACGTTTAAAGGGGGTGTAGCATGGCAAATACTGTTTAACGCCATCTACACCTTTTTTTGGACAACTGCATGGGAAAGATATATAGTCTCCTCATGCTACACCCCTTTAAGTCTGTTCTACTATCGTGTGCAACGTGATAGAACCATAGAAGTAAATTTTTGGTTTACTGTTGAATGCTTGTACAGTGTCATTAAAGAACTATTCTTGCACATGAAATTGTAACACTAGACAACTGTTTGGTTTACAAGTTATGTGTCCCTTGTAATATGAGATGCACTCAACCAACATGCTGGTATTTGGACTTAATCTTAACTGACAGTGTTGAATACATGCACTGTAGGTTGTTTTGTCTGTGTCGATTGCTATATTTATTATCATGTAAAGTTGATGTTTGCCCCTTTTTTATGTAGTTTTGTGTCTTGATCTCTTCTTTAAACATAAAGTTCGGCGGCCAAGAACAACAGGTATATGAGATGAGATATAGCCATAAAATTTCTCTACATCACCCTCTATTAAATATGCATGGCATGGATCATTTTCCTTCTATTATCTATCTTATCGGATTACACATGTTTGATACATTTTTTATTTTTGTTCATATGATATTCTGTTTTTACAGTTTTCTATACCAGTAAATGTAAAACAGCCAGGGCCCTTTGCATAAATTTTCCACTAATGGTAACTTTGGCATCAATGTTAGCTACCATTGCAACATCATTCATTAGCCAATCAAATGATATTTTCCATGGTAGTTACCATTACCATCATCAATGTTAAGTGTTATGCAATGCGGCCCAGAAAGACCCTTTAAAAGATGTATGATGCTTGTAGATTCATACTACGCATGCTAGACATCAGACATGCATGCTATCAGAATTATCAGATTTGACCTTCAGTAATAATAATAATAACAATCTTTTAAAGTCCACTCCAAATTTTATTAAGTTAAACAGAAAATGGAAATTCTTTTTGCCCAACTGATTGTGAGCCTGGCAGGCACTGAGCAGCGCCAGATCAAAGTTGCTATATCCCTTATTGTTGAACGCCAAACAAGGTAGCAGCAACTCCCGTCTTTTAACGTCTTTTGGTATGACGCGGCCGGGGTTCGAACCCACGACCTCCCAGTTGTGAGGCGGACCGGACGCTCTACTGACTGAGCCAACGATGGTATGGCGTAGCAATATGAATGCAATTTTGTGCCAAAAAGTAAAGGATAATGCTAATACAATGACTACACAAATCCGTTGTAATCCCCTCTTCAGGAATAACATTGTAAAGACAAGTACTCAACTTCATAAATACACCGCTTTTGTCATAATACGTACAGTGCGTCTCAAAAAATTAACATTTTGAATTTTTTCAAATTAATATTTGGGGGGACTCTCCAACTTTAATCTATTTTGAGACACATTGTAGTATGCATGCTTATCATCATCATCATCATCATTCCTTATTACCAAACACATATTGCCTACCATATTCTGCAATCCATATAATGCACTATGATTGCTGCATATATTTTTATGTTAAAAGGTCTCTAAAAGAATTAAAAAACAATTGTACATGTATTTCATCACTTTGTCATAGGATCTATTATTAATTTGTTAAAATCAAAACAGGAAATGCCAGATCAAGTTTACATTCATTATTTGTATAAACTAAATGTACATAGCTTTCATTTTCAATTTTGTGCATTGAAGTAGTGTCACTTAGTTTTTATTTCATCATACTTCCTTACACATTGAAAACACAATACATATCTTGTGACTGATACATGTAGTTCTTTTTATGTATCTGCCTTGTTTAGTAGGCCTATTCACTTTCACTTTCTATATAAAACCATTACTTCATAGTTAGTTCTTATTACTTTCTCCTCCAGTAAATGAATGCCTTGTTGTGACTCTACTTGCTGAATCGGTACTTAATTTGGTATATTAATGGACTTAGAAATATTTCCTACAGTGTGCATTGTACATTTTATTTTATTTTTTTCTTCTTAGTGTTTCTTTTTCTAATTTTTCTTCTTCTCTTTTTTTAAAAGAAGTGAAGGAGTTAGCAAGTTACTGTGTAGTCCTCCTGTCCAGGAAAAAGGACCGTTGTTCACATGACTATATATTCAATGTGTTACTGGTTGTTCTGGTTTGAAAATCCTTACAAAATACAGAAATATCCATGCATCTAGGATTATTAATGATTCTGAAGCTAACACTGACACTTTCTAATGGTGTTGGTGATGTAAGAATATGGAAGATCTATTGAGACAAGTATAGCAAGTGAAAATACTTAGTGATAACAAGGTATAGATAATTTTGTCTGTTTGGAGCCAGAAGGGTGTCAACTTCTACAAGTTTTCACAATTTTACACAGAAATAATATCCGTCTGGCTTTGAATAAATGATTTATAATAATTTACATTCTCGTACAATTTGTATCGGCCTGTTTGAATATCATGGTCAATAAATCGATATTTAAATTTGATTTTTTTTTTTTTTTTTTTTTTTTTTTATAAATAATTTTTTTGTTTAATTTTTTTTTAAATTAATTAATTTAATTATTATTATTTTTTGTTTCCAGGAATACATGGATGCTCTCAATAAGCAGGAGATTCACCAGAAGCAATTGGCAGCTCTAAGCCAGCAGTTCACATTGCTCACTAACGAAGTAACGGCATTAAAGACAGACAAAACTAGCCTTCAAGGATTATATGAGAAACAAGATGCTACCCTTGGTGAGTGGATATATCTAGGATCATGTAAAAGGAATAAAATGTTGCTTTGAGTGAAAGCAAAATATTTAGACACACAAATCAGTTAGAGTTTGTGAATACATTAAAAAAAGGGGGGAAAAGTCATGGAATTATTAGGCTTAAATCATGTAAAATGTCCAAACGTATTATTCTACCATGTGATTATGATGTCATACTCTCTCTCTCTCAAGATATCTTATTGGTATTATGGTCTCACACATCCTCTTAAGAAATGTTTGTCTCTCATCAGTTTTCTACAGGCGACAAGGAAAGTAACAATATTGTCTACCTGGTATTAAAAGTCCCATAAAGTAAACCCTATTGAAATTTAACAAGTCTGTTTCTACAGTAACACAAGAAACTGTACATTTGCAGAGCTAACAGAATGTACCACGTACACTGGATATCAGGAAAGTCGGCGTTGTGTGCAGTAATGCATTGTGTCATGTGACCTTAACCGCCAATGCTACCGCAAACATAACATAACATAACATGACGCCTGGCTGGAATGCTCCTCGGGAGTGGAGAATGCATACATTATGTGCGGGTAAGCCTGAATCCGATGACCGGGGTAATAATATATATCTGTAAAGCGCTCTAAGAGGGCCTTCGGTCCTGAAAAGCGCTATATAAGAACTACTAATATTATTATAACTACAGAGATGAGAAGGCGAGCATACCTGGAAGAAGGCACGACTATTGTTTATTTCAATTCATATCCTTTACCTTTACCTTTACAGCAAGTATTTTTGACGGCAAGTATGGCAGTGATGCCGAGTACAGGCTGGAGTCTGAGCTAGACATGCTGCTAGAACGTAAGCAGAGAGTGGCCGTAGCACGCTATAAGTGGAACAACTCACATACCCTGGCCAAGCATGCTTGCGGCCAGCTAAGCTTTGGTATTAGAAGATGGGCAGATGTTCTGCAAATACCAGCACAGTAAGCATAATCTTGTGTTTCATTGATGTTTGGTTTTTTAAAAATCAACAGCTGAAATAGATTTATAATTCAATTTTGACATTGTACAATAATAATTCTTGCAAACCTAATTGTTCTTTTGAAAATAATTTTTCAGCTATCAATATCCTCATGTATACATGTACATCTTGATCAACAAACATGTGAAATATATTGAAAGCATGTCTCCCGAGGAAGAATAAAATTGAATTGAAAAGAATTTCATTAGCCAACTCATAAATCTGCATTTGGAGAATATCACCATCATACAATACAAGTATGTACCTGCTACAAAATTTAGAATTTATCCATTTTAATTATTACTACTCACACAGGAACACCCAGATTAGATATCAGTTTGCTGCTGAAGCTCGTAACAACCTCGTGGCCGCCGCGCAGAACATCAAGACGTCCCAGCAGTACTTGAACACCATCAAGTTTCCTTACTGCACACCGGACGAGATAGAGACGCTGAACAAGGCCATCGCGAACATCTTCTCCGACATGATGCATCCTGACAGGCATAAGCATGCCATGGAGTGTTATGTAACGGTCTACAAGCGATCGGCTGCACTCATACAGTGGTTTGAGCATGTAAGTCACTGTTATCTCCTTTCATTTAGTGTAAACATAATTAAGTAATATTGACTGCCTTCAGGGCAATACGACATATACCGCCCAACCGAAGTTGAGGGTGATATATGACAAGTCGTATTGCCCTGAATTAGGCAGTCAATATTGCTATTATTAACCACTTCAGACATCTAGAGCAAACAAGAAACTCTTACCATCTTACACTCTTAAATTAAGTTTAAAAAAGTAGCCTACACTGCACAGGGTTTCCTAGCATGAAAAGTTGCAAAAACGTCTTCAGGAAAAGTGCTCACTATCACCCCTGTAGTATAGACATGAACCCATCCTACAAATTCACATAGGGTCATTTTGCATATCAGGTATATTTCTGCTGTGGATTACTACATTTCCTTGTAATATCTTAGAGTGATGTGATATCTTTTGCAAACTTTATGAAAAGCTAAATGGACATCCATTGATATACATCAGTGTAGTTACTTTCAAAATTATGTTCTTTTGGATAATGTTAAGAATTTGTAATGCTTAAGGACAATTTCTTGTACTCAAGGTCGAAAGTAATTTCTGCTTCTTCTGTTGAATCTCCATATATACATCTTGAGAGAGTCAACCATAGATAAAATATGCTTGTCTAAGAAAATAATTTTTTTTCTATATTAATTATGCTTTTCAGTTTATCTCAGTGGAATTTACTTCATACATGTATGCCCATATGTATACTGTATTTCTCTAAATAATGCCAGGAGTCATTCAAGGTTAAAGGTCATAAATGTTAATTTCTGAAATCACAGGCTTTAGCTTTCTAATCATGATATCTCAAGAATCATGTATAAAGCTATGAACTTTACACACTTGAAAGTATGCAATGGCATTAGCAGACCTGCCAACCAGTACGATTTAATCGTATTTAGTACGATTTTTAGAAGCAAATACGACAGTACGATTTTCCTTAATAAAATACGATTTTCAAAAAAAAAAAAAAAAAAAAAAAAAGACGATTTTTTTTTTTTTTTTTTTTTTTTTTTAAATTAATATTTTGTGTGTGCGTCCGCCATTTTCAATGGCAAAATCTCTATTCTGTCCAATAAAGTATCCTACATGCATCTCACATCGGCAATTTGGGGATGTTTATTGGTTCATCGAACACACCAGTCGTGACGAAATAATGCATATTCAACCAATGATTAATAAAAAAAATTCTTCCTGTAGGTAGAAACTGTAAGAGGCATCGATCCGCGTAACAATCCGTGTTTATTTTCAAGAATACAACTTTTGTCAGTAAAATACAACTTTTGACACTAAAGAATACAGTTTTTGAACTCCAGAGGTTGGCAGGTCTGCATTAGGGAAACAAACTTAAGATTTGGGGGGAAGTAGGTCAAGGGTCATAAGGTCAATTCCATGAAATGTTGGGTTTCTAGCCTTGTTTTCATGAAATCTGAAGTACCATTTGAGAAGATTGACCTAAACCTTGGTATAAGTATGTATCAACATAGAGCGACAAAATGAGTAGATTAGGGGGTTATTGGGTCAGAGGTTGGAGGTCATGAGTGACAAACATAGTGCACTAAAAAGGTTACTACAATAGTAAAATATGTTTAGGATGCAAACCCACACCCCTCTCTTATACTTGCAATTAGACCTGTTTGTATTCTTGTACTCGGAACAGGTGATCAACAAGACAATCAATAAAGACTTAGAGAAGACGGCAAAGAACTGTGCTTCAAAACAGAAAGAACTCAAGATGGAGAGAATGAAACTTGTTCAGGAGAAGGTCAAGGAGAAACTAGGTGCAGATGTCGCATCTCGCTTGCAGGCAAGGTCACAAGCCAATGGTATGTTGATTTCTTTTTTGAATAAACGTTGTATGTCCTAGAGTTGGCTTTGTAACATACTTGTCCTTAGTTCATTAGCAATGTAAGCCTATGCATGCAAGTAAACTATCTATTTTGAACAACCAATCTTTCGGTACATTACGGTACATTACGTTAGATTACAGTACATTACGGTACATTACGGTACATTACGTTACATTACATTACATTACGGTACATTACGGTACATTACGTTACATTACAGTACATTACGTTACATTACGGTACGTTATAAGTAAATTTCTGTAAATAGGCGGTGTCACACAGAGGCCATAAATCCGGATTTTAGTTATCCAGATTTTAGTTATCCTCTTGATTGCTGTCTGTCATCAATATTATCCTTTCAAAAATCCTCTAACGAAGCAAAAAAATTCTCCATTGAAAGGATTTTTCAAGGGATTTTTCTGTTTGACACCGCCTGTTGACTTGTGTGTGTTTTATTCTTTTGTTTATGTTGTAGATGCTGAGCTCATAGAAGACAAGGATGAACCTGAGTTAGCCATGTTGGTCGATGCAGACTCAGTCTCACAGGCAGGGGATGTCGGTGTTGCCCCGGTAAGTTGTCACCCTTCACCTCCTTTTTTCTATCCAATTGGCAATCGCTTACACTGCACAGAGGAAATGAGTTTACATTTTATTTTCACAAGTTTTCTTTGTATTTTCTTTATATTATGAAATGATGTTCAAATTTGAATTCGATTTGAAAGTGAAATTATAGGCCTACATACGGTACATGAAAGACTATTTCAAATTTAGTTGAAAAAATAATGCATGAGATTAGGTAGGTTGTTTTTTACACCATGTTCTACATGTACCAGCATTTGCCAAACTGGCCTGAAACAAAAGAGAGAATGAAGTGCACTTTTATTCAGGATGTACATTATTCCAGTCACAAATTTAGATAGACTGTGTTTATATGATGTAATAGAATCATCAGTTAGTTTAGATGTGGTATAAACATTCGTGGATCATCACCCCCCCCCCCCCCAATCTATACTCTCAAATCTATTCCTCATTTGTCTCTTTGTTTTATATTTATTTGGTTGATCTGTAGGAGGGAAGTACTGAGATGAATGCACCTACTCCTCTAGGGCTTGAAGACCTTGCTCCTACCCCAGCCATGGATGACATCTTTGGTAAGCATCATCTTGTTAAATTAAACCTCTTCAGTCTTGAGGATCGATGGACAATGCATGTACCGAACTCAATTTTGTTTATTTGATGCAATAATTGGGAAAGTCTAGCCACTGGCACTGCCTCTCCAGGGGGGTGTTTCACAAAGACTAAGATCGATTTTAAGTTGGACTTAACTATAGCAGGCAGTTTATGCCACTGTTTGCTCTCACCATTTATTGTCATTGGTTTCTCAAGGGACGTACCAATCGTGGTCACACATCTACAGAATTTAAATTTTTTGATATTTGATGATTGAAGGGAAAAATATTTCCTATAGATCATAATTGAGAGACAAATAGTGAGAGCAACCAGTGGCATGAATAGCCTGCCATAGTTAAGAACAACTTTAAGTCGATCCTAGTCTTTGTGAAACATCCCCCTGGACAGCACCAAACAAGCTTTTGAGGAGATAACTGCATCAAGTATCGAGTATCAAGTAAAAGAACAACTATCCAGTAACAATTTTATTAATCTGGACCCTTGTAGTAGATACTCTATCATGCATCAAATATGAGAGGGATGACCAAGTGGGATAAACCAGCAGTTATTGTTTGATGCTACCCATAAAGCTTGCTAGTACATATCCTGCTGAACTGAAAACAATGCTCTTTACACAATAAATGTTTTATTATCCTTGAATATACCTGTTTTTCAGAGACATAGTGAAAAGAGTGGAGTATTGACCTCCTTTCAAAGTCCACAATTGCTCCCTTTGCTTGCTACACAATGGGTATAATTGATTGACGCATACACTATACAAAAGGGAGGGTGAGGCAGTTAGTTTTACATGGAGAGTGTGTAGTTGTGTGTGAGAGTATGTCTGTGTACAACTCTAATTTTTTTTACATGTAGGCCTACATGAACAACTTTATCATGTTTACAATGCAATATGAGAGTATAAATTATTATTGACTCAGGTAAATGATGTATTATTATTATACCTGTAACTAATATTATCACATGAGAACTTTTATCATACATTTTTTTTTTTTTTTTTTTAGGGGGGAGGGGGCTGTAATACAGAGTTTTGAGACTTTTCATGTATTGTTTTCAATCAAATTACTGTGATGGGATGATTATTTTCTTATTTCAGACATATCAGTGGCAAGTGTATTGCATGAATACCATAATGCAAAATTGTTTCATCTTAAACTCAATAAATACCTCTTTTCTTTTCAATTATGGCATGAAGGCAATTGTTTAATTTCCTATTTTCCATTGCTTGGTGCACTAAAATGTTTTTGAATCCTTTTGTTTTAGCCCTCTAGAATAAAATGTAAAAGTATAATGAGATTGGCTCTTCATATTGCTAACTTCAAGCTTATCCGGCCTTAGATCCTACTTTTTTTTTTTGTGCAAAGAGGTGATGGAACCTTGCTATTCCTACTCCAAGTGCAAGTCATTATCATTTTTCTCCTAATTTCCGGACCAGTAATAATAATAATAGGCATTTATATAGCGCCGTCTATCTAGACAGTTCTGTTCCGAGGTGCACAAATTAATTATTACCACGGCCTTAGCCTATCTGCCATTACAGTACTCTAGCATTTCAAGGAATTAATTCCTGCCAGGTACCCATTTACCTCACCTTGGTCAAGTGTGGCATATGTAGATTAATGTCTTGCCAAAGGACATTAGTGCCGTGTCAGGGATCGAACCACGACCTTCAACATTTCAAGTCAAGTGCTTAAACCACTCGACTACAACACTTTATGTAAAATTCTAATCTTGCAAAGAGGTGATGGAACCTTGCTATTCCTAATCCAGTGCAAGTCATTATCATTGTTCTCCTAATCCCCGGACCTGTAACCTTTACATATGTCTGCTTCCGATCACCAGGTAACATTGAGGAGTTGAAGAAGCAACACGACGAGCAGGTGAAGGAATACGAACGCCAGCAGGAGGTGAACAAGACCCGAGCAGACCAGGATCTACAGAGTAAGCTTGCCGCTCGTCGGTCCAGGCGACAACGCCAAGAGGCTCAGGAAGCCGAGATAGCAGCCATGCAGGGATCCACTCCGTACTAGAGTACCTGGTGTCCAGTCTTGACCAGAGGCACTGTCTGACCAGAGGCACTGACCAGTGGACAGACTGGTTTTGATTAATCATCTGCATTCTTCCATATTCAGGATGTTTACGCTGCCCAAGAGGAGTCATTTATACCTAATTGTCTCTCGATCCTCTCCAACCTTTTCAGTGTCTTGATCCTGCCTTCAGTCATGCATGCACATACATTCATATACAGCTGTACATATATCCATCATTATTTTTATTTGTATTCAGCTATTTTCTGAACTGCTCAAATTTTGTAATATGATACCTTGGAAATATACCTTGGAAGTAGGCATTTAAAGTTAAAAACTTATTTGCCTCTCGTTGACATCAGGATGAAGAATCTCTATTGGGACACATGTTTAGTGGCGCTGTAAAGCAGTTGACAAACATGGACAAGCGAAAGACTCTTCTGGGTCAAATTGATATTTTCTTAACGACCAAAATTTCGAAAAATTTGATTCTGAAACTCATCTGTTTAAAAAAAATATGAATCCTAAATATCAGTCATCGTCCTGGCAGAATGATTTGGATGAAGACTGGGTCACTATATGGGCATTAAAACTGTCGAACAGTGATGGAAAAGACATTTTTATCAGCTTGCTGATCTAATTATTTTGTAATCATTGGATACACCGTCCATTCCTGATGCATTGTCTTTCACATAGTTGACTTTCTGTATGTTTATACGATACGATTTGTGATTTTCGACAGATGATTTTAACTTGTATATAATTGGTGCAATGCTATGTAATCATACTTTGTTGGATGGGATATTTGACTCTGATTCTGTATATATATATATATATATATGTAATTATATATACTTTCATCACAGAACAATACTACATGTAAAAAGTTGTATTCACTGATTAAAAAGATTATTCATGAGGCATTTGTATGATTGATGCATTAAACAAACAATAAGGTCAGTATATATATAATTCATGATGATTAACTCCAGGTTTAATGGGTAAAGTTAGCCTACTGATTCATGGAGTACCAATTGTCAACCACCTCGTCCTGAAAAAAAATCACCATAATTCTATTACTGCATGACTAAATCGAAATCATATCGTTTTGACATTTCTCATTTTCATTTCATGACCAGATTCATTTCATTTTGTCACAGAATTATATTGATTTTCACAGAATAATGAGTTTGACATCTGGCACTTCATAAATCATTGGATGGAGTTAAACCAGGTTGAATTGAGTCAACCTACATGCATACATGTGTACATGCCTCATACTGTAAATTCATTAAATGATCCAAAAATCCAATGTTACATTCAAATACCTGAAGGAAAATAATGAATGGACACTATATATATATATATATATATATATATATATATATATATATATATATATATATATTTATATATATTTATATATATATACTAAATTGTTGTATTAACAAGAGATCTATGTATATATTTCTGAATATATGAATTGTGTAAATATATCTGGAGAAAGTAAAAAAAATCTTACCTATATATTTTTTACAATCCAAATAATTTCAGTATTATTGTCAATTTGAAAGCATTCCATTCATCTATATAATCAAGGGAGAAAAGTGAACATTTGTATATGTTCCTAGAATAATTCATGCTATATCACCTGTACAGTGTATATATGTGGTTGATAGAAATGTAATAGTGAATGTCAAGTTAATTTCCAGCATATTATACAGGTACATTTTTATTCTCTGCTATTTTACCTGTTTTAAAAATATGGTGTGCTATGCAGAAAAACTTTTGAATTTTCAGGAATTCATGTACATGCATGGAGTATCGGTACTGGTTTGCCCTGAAAATAATATATTATTAGAGGATTCCCATCACTTTTGTTGGAAACCAAAAAAATATGCTATGTGTGTGGCCAAAGAAATATTGATATTTGCTCCATGTGGAGATTGAAGCCCTTGAAAAACAAGACTTCAAAATACAGTTAAATAATTAGTGATTAGATTGGCATGATAACTCTATCTAATCTAATGTACAATAATCAGATCTGTAGCATAATTTGTATCATAATGTATTATTGCAGCTTTGCTCATTTCCTAATTTAGATTTAAAATTGTGTGCAGAGATTAGAGAATACTTGTATTTGATTCTAAACTCTGAAAAATATATTTTTTTTAGTGTAATCAGTATATGAATTTACCCCCTTTGTTCTGAATTGCAGACTCAATTTTCACATTCTAAATGTGTAATTTGACCCCTCAAAAAAAACATTTTTTTTTTTTTAGAAAGATAGAAAATTGGAATTTCCAACACTAATTGTGACAGTTTAATTTCCTTTCTTCGTCTACTTTTGTTTCCTTTATTTGTTATGTATAAAGTCACTAAAAGTAATGTGTAACATTTTTGGAAATGCTTCTACTCAATGAAGTAGAAAATGATTTGATACATTAGGGAATTTCTGGTTATAGTATACAAGATACAAGTACCGGTAGATATGATGTGTGTGTGACAATCACAACATGTTCTTTTAGAAGAATGGTGATCTTTGATACTGTTACTATTACCCACCACTTCTATGAGAATGCTAAACCAAATCATCAAATGGTGCCAAGATATGTTTCTTTTCTACAAAAGAAAATACCTGTTGTTCCCTTCTTGTGAAAGTGGACTTTTTATGTTCCTTGACATTATTTCAATTTAATTTTAAAGCATTAGCCCAGGACATGAGTAAGGTTGAAATAAGAGTTTTAATTACGACCTCTTGGCGAATTGGTGTTGATATAGTAAGCCACTTTGTTAAAAACAAACATTGATCTAGGAAAAATTATTTCAAAAGGATGTTAAAGCCTGTGTCATGAGTAAGGTTGAAATAAATGTTTTAATTACGGCCTCTTGGCTAAATCGGTGTTGAGTAGTAAGCCACTTTGTTCAAAACAAACATTAATCTAGGAAAAAAGTATTTTAAAAGGATGTTAATTTTTGGGATATTGGGAGCCTGAATGAAGATTGAACTTGTGCACAGCGTCCTGCATGGCAAGGGCTTCAATTCAAATGATATCTAAACTGAAGAAAAAAATCCACTATTTATCAGTTATTGATGGACATGAGATGAAAAGAATATTGAAATTGAATACCTCTTTGGAAAGTACATTATTTGATACCGGTACATTGAAATATGATGTATTTGTTGATTTGGGGCATAATATTTGTGAAAGGTGCATTATAAACGTGCAGCCTGAAAACATTCTTTTTGTACATATAGCTGAGTAAAGAGCATCGATCACATGATTGATGTTTATAACCTTGATGTCCTCGTTTGATTCATGTATTCAATCACTCAAAATCTGTATGTATATGTCATTCTAACCTTGTCTTTCACGTGTAGTACATGTATATGTGCATGGCTCAGATCAAGGGTACCCTTAGATTGAACACTGGGAAATTGTTTAATTATCCAAAACCATGAGACCCAGACACAAATTAGCATTTTTATATTAGAAAGTACCATTGGGGGAAGCTCCAAACAAGGTTTCAGCTTCATTGAGTTCAAATTAAAGATTTTAGAGCAATTTTATGATGTAAAAAGGCCTATTTTCAGCACTTTTAATGTTACATTCAAAACATGCACTAATTGGTTACCAGATTTTTTACTAATGGGATGCAAAACTTTTTTTTTTTTTTATCTTGATGTAGAATCTATGTAATAATTAACATTTCTGTTGAGTTAATTCCTATTATTTTACTTTCTTATTCCATTTACATGTGATACAATTTTTGTGATATGTACATAACTTTGGTGTCCTGCAAATTTCAAACTTTACTAACTGAAGAATGGTGCATAAATAATTGATTTATTTACAAGATTGCAATGTTATAATGTTTAGTTTCACTTTATCTTTGATTTCCCATCAGATCATTTCATTCTGGGTCATCGTTTTAAAAATATTTAGATTTCTGTAAATGGAAAATGTTTGGTGTCCTGCAGTTATGTACATACCAGTGCAACAGAATCTATACAAAAACATATTGTATTCTTTCAAAATGATAATGTAATGGTGTATATAGGTGAATGAAGAGCACTGATAACATTGGATTCCGCATTTTAACTTGTATGTGTTATTTAATCAACAATGAATGTGGACACCGAGTTATGTACGTGACAGTTATGTACATATTCCATGTTTTGTTTTTCCAATAAGACCACCTATATTTAGTTATTTTTCATGGTAAGGTAGTAAAAAATGTATAAGACATACACACATCTGATTTGGTGAGAAGAATATTACAAAATATTGCAGTTTGAACTTTTTCATGTCATGTACATAACTAAGACACCATTATGAAAAGACACCGAGTTATGTACGTTACTACCAATCAAAAATTTGAAATAATTATCATAAATAAATTTATTTATTCCATACAGCATGAATTGCACCCTTCTGCATTTTCATTTAAACAAACATTTATTGAATTTAAGGAACAAGAAGTTAAATATTATTTGAATATAGAACTACTTACTTTTGGTGTCCACAGTTATGTACGATTACATGTAAGTACAGAAATCTTACATTTCAGTAGTTTACAAACTATTTACACATTGCAAATTATGTTTCATTCAGGAAACACATCATTCCTTCAATTGAAGTCGTTGTTAGACTAATGCAAAACCATATCTGACAATGAGGCAAAGAGAAAGCATGTAGAGAATAAGATGTACTGTACATAACTCGGTGTCCACATTTGGTTTGGCCATATTCTAATAACTAAATTGAAAAAAGTTGATATGGCAATGGTTTTAAGTTTTGTTTACAGTATGTTTTAACATCTAATGTACTTTGTCAGAAAAATTAAAATCATAAGGGAAATATCAGCATGAAGTGGACACCGAGTTATGTACGTGACATTTTTGATGATGTGATATTTAGCTACTGATTGCCACTTAACGGCAATTTGTTAAGGTCTGATTTTTTAGCTATATGTTGCATAATGTTTGCAGATTACAAAAATAATGTTGCCACAGTCTATAATTGACTTTTAAAATTCACCTCATATGTAACACTTAGGTGCCCTTGATCAGAGCCCTGCACATATGCACTTTTAACACAAATATTTACATGTACTATATTTGTTACTTTGAAGATACCTTGAGAAAATTGTACAAATGAAATTTATATTTTGTGTGTGTGATTCTTACTTTATATTTGATATATTCACATGTTAATAAGTGTCTTTGCATGAATAAATTTATAGTAGTTTCTATCCAAAGCATTAGTGTTTTGTCTTGTCTTATTGGCATTGTCAACATTTCAGTTCATACCCATTTACACAATGGCAGGAAATGTTATTTTCATCAATTTCTGCAAAATAATATCATGGACTTATCAAAGAGCAAAGTTTACTCCACTGTTGTTGATGGTCTGGGCCCTGTTTCATAAAACTTGTTATCAATAACAAGTTACGATAATTGTTTTATAAGCTACTGAAATCCTTGCATTTGATTGGCTGTGAGCAGATTTGTCATAGATCTGTGGCAGTTGTTATTGATAACAAATTTTGTGAAAAGGGCCCTGGTTGGTATGGTGTCTTATTTTTCTGGTTAAAATTACCGCTTCTGGTTTGTATACATGTCACATTACATTCTCAATCATGAGTGTGTACAAACTTAATTAGTTGTAAGGTTTTTGTGGCCTTCAGATCTTATAATCCATATAACAAGGACCAATTTGGTTTCGTAAGAATATGATATGTGGCTTCTAAGTTGTAACACACGTGCATAAGGATTAAGGAGGATTGCAATTAAATCTTGAAACCATACATTTGTATGTCCCTGAAGTATGCGTGAAATAGACTGCAAATAAATGTAACTAATAGGGAAGTGTACTGCTGTATTATACCCAAATCATATCACACAAATGCTTGTTACAAAAAAGACACTACAAGTGCAGATGTTAGTACTAATGTTTTATATATTATTCATGAATACAACTGGATAAATACATAACTTCTCGTCATGGAATCATTTTGGTCACATACACCTAGTCAAGGTAACTTATTTACTGAAAGACAGTGCATATCTTCACATTTAGTTTGAATAATTCTTCCTGGTTTTAAGGCAGCAATCACATGATTAGAATAATTAGACAACAAGGAATAGCCTTCTCACTTAATTACTAGTAAGTACTACAAAAATACAGAAATAACATATTTACCAATATTCATAAATATAAGTAAATGTCAGGTAGCATTAAGAAATATATTTCCATAACGAACTTGGCATGAATTGTTACATGATATATTGTATGATGCATGTAAAAAGCATCAGTTTTTGTGTGAGTTATACGCATGCGTCACTTGTTGCTGCACAGCGTACATTAGCATGGAAGCAAGTACAGTCATGTGATGAAAAAACTGGAATAATTCACTGGCGTTTTAAAGGCAAGCATTTACAGTGCAAAGACTACCTGCATTTAAAAAACCACACCCCAGAGGTGGGTTTTTTTTAATTCAGGTATTTTGTTGTGTGTATGGGTAGTTGCTGCCTAGCAACTTCCGACAAAACTTTGGATGTAAGAAAAACCAGTGGTTTTTGTTGAAGCTTAAATGCCCCTGTTAGAATATCATTATAGATTTAATGACAACATAGGATTACAATCACTTACGCTTCACTTACTGAAGATTGTACATGATTAAAATAAAAAGGCACTCTTATCTTCATGCAAAAGACCTTTGTGGGATTTTACAAGCTTACCACAGTGCATATCTAGCTGAAGCGATCAAACATTGATTGCCTTACTAGTTTGAAGGTATAGTACTGTATTTAGATTAATTTGTGTGGATTTAACTGTTAAACTAACACATAAGCTAAACCATTCTCTCTAGACTTGTTTCTTTACAACAACAATGATTTTCAATGCTAACCTACATGTATCGATATGCTAAACTCACTGTACAGTTCATTTGTAAACAGCTCTTCACAAGGCATTAATATTCATCTATTCAGCCAAATATAAACCATAAATAACTACATTTATTACATTTCTATCATAACATTAAAATCATTAACTCTTCATAATTTGATAAGTTAAATTTTCAATTCATAATCCCTTAAACACTTATAAAGTTTATCTACTATAGTGATATCAAGATCAATCATTAGAAATGTACACAATAAATACAGAATAGCAGATTTTCAATCAGTACGAAGTACATTTACATTGATTTTAAAGCCGTCTACACTAGTTTGGCCAGGAGGGATTAGACCTCCCTGCATGGTCACTGGCAGGTGGTTTATATCTCATCAAATTAGCTCTCAATTAACATAAAAAAAGAGAACCATGGGGGATCAATGGGCATTGTTGGCTATATAGAGGGCGCAAGTAGCTACAAGTAGTGCAGTTCCCCTTTTAAAAGGCCATTCGCAAAAAGCATGAATACCTCAATGGGGTATTGTACTATTGTTAATGAAAACAATGGAAGGAATAGCACGCCCTTGACCTATATAGAGCATGTTATTGTAAAGCTAGTAACACCCACGCACACTTCATGTAAAGAGAGAATCCTTACAATCAGTATGTACAATATACATGTACATGTAGGTACATGTAGATACATGTACAATGAAAGCGCTTAGAGACATTATATATTAATAAGCGCTACATAAAAGCTGAATATTATTATCATTAAGGCTACATACTAATATACGGGGTGCCATCTCCTCAATATCGACTGCATTCACATAACAGTCAACCAGCCATAGACTTAATCAAAGTGTTGCTATTGAATACCATATTTTTCCAAAGGAAGGATTATTGAGATTGAGAACAAAATAGCTTTTTTTATTTGCTCGAATATGGAACTCAGAGGCCAAACTGTAAATCTATTCAAATAGTTCATGGGAAATGTCTGTAATAGAGGAAAGGGAAACGTGAGACTTTATGTTCAAATAGGTTAATCTCAAAAAGCAAATAATATAACATTTATTCAATCATAAACATTAGAATCTAATCCTGACACACCGTTTCTTTATGTGCAAGTGAGATCCAAGATCCAAGAAATGCGTAACAAAGTTATATATCAAAGGTATATTTCACATCATACACCTTAGATAGTAAGTACAATTATAAATGGAAATGGAAATAGAACAAACTGCATATTTCATCCTACCTCCATGTAATTCATGTACATGTGTGTAAGTAACCCCTGTCTGACTACAACAACAACAAAAATATACTTGGCTCAAATTGAATTATTAACATTTCAAAATACTACATAACCCACATCACAAGTGCAGGCATATGCAGTCACTGTCGCAGTCATTGAGATGAATGAATGATTTTTGTAATATTGGGTGATTAAGAAAATATATATATAATAATAAATAAGTAAATAAAAAGGAAAATTGACATGATCTTTCTTCCTAGAAAAGATTCAGATTCTATTGCTTTTTCATTCATCAGCCAAATGAACTAGAAGGTCCTGAACCATTTCTGGATTTTAAAAAGAAGACAAAGTCAAAAACACTTTTTATCCCTATTTAGCCAAATGGTCCTGTTCATCCTGTTTTACATGACTCCAGCTTTTAATATACAGATATTCCTAGCCAAAAACTGCGCAGAGAAGCAGTATACTACCACGACCACACCAACGGAATCGACGCCAGACTGACAACAGGCCAAACCAAAAATGTAATTACCCTGGACGGCCTAGAATCAGTCTCTGCCATTCAGGTTCGGCAGTATGACCGAGGTATATACAGACAGTACTTTTGTGATAATTGTAATCTACAAACAGCAGATGATCAGCGAGTCTGCATGAGATGTACAATGAAAGAATTTTACGGATGATAAATGGACCTTTAATTTTATTTCTTTTCATACAGGAGTCAATCACATTTTCCTTCTTTGTGGAAAGGAAGGAGGGAGAGGGGGGAACAGTTTACCAAGAACAAGGATACCTAATTGTCACAGAGAAGTCCGTCATCATTTATAATGATCTGGAATTGGCTCAAGAAGTTTCGGTACGATATCATAGTACTTGACAAATCCATTCTTCTGTATTCCAAACTCTCTCATCATGTCATCAACTGGAAATAAAAAGAGAAAATGAGATAAATAAATATTTATAAGGAACTGCACATGTATAAATACATACTAAGTATAAAGGACTCAGCATTGCCTTAACGATAAAGTTGAGTACTGGTATTAAATGCGATTGCATCGTGAAAGAAACGGTGTGCAATTGATCAGAAAAGGTTGATCATCTTGCATATAAGTATTGGTGTGTACTGCAAGGTTCTGGAATCACCAAAATGATAAGAAATTTAGCCCAGTCTTGGTAAAGTTACAAGCACTGTACACAGAAAGATGTATGTAGGACTACACAAACATGTGGCATACAAATCTGTCCAGTTTGTTATGCTGTTACATGACATATTTAGAATATGAAGGCATTTGAAGAGCCATGCTTTTCAGGGGACATGTTTTATCTGATGTTCTCCCACACTTGCATAATAACAATGATAACGATCACAAGTTATCTTTCACCTCTTCCCAGAACTCAACCTTCTCTTTAAAGAAAGTACAGCATGTTACAAATCCATCATATCATGGGAACATATTCATCACTGATTTATTCAAGCATTAGACTAAAGACAAATTCATCAGTTGAAAGATAACTTAATGGATTACTTCTACCATCCCTGTTTATATCTTCCAGGTATCAGATTAGATACCTGCAGTGCAATTATAATGATTGGAATCTTGTTTAATCAATCCTATCATTGCAAGGTCTTAAGGAATAATATGAATAATAATATGTCTTGTTTACCCAGGGTAGCCTTATCAGTAAGGCTGCGACGGGTAGTCGAATGCTCGAGTACCCGCACGGTTGACAACTACTCGGGTACGATTTCTTGTACCCGAATATTCGGCCGCAAAAAAAAAAAAAAAAAAAAAAAAAAAAAAAAAAAAAAAAAAATGTCCAGGCCCACGCTTACCCGTGCCAGGGAGAGCAGCGTCCGCTGGCATGGTACCGTCGGTAAAATGTTTCCCAACTCAAGCACTGTCAAACTCACCTTTCAGAAACTGGGACCAAATGTCCAGATTTCTGTTTGGACTTGGAGGAAAATGGATTATTCTGCCATCTTTGGTTTTTAAAACAGCATTGTTTACTGTTGTTATTCTTATTAAATCGGCGCCTTCAACTGCAACTCAAAGTAAAGTTGCATGCGTTTTCAGCGAGGGACCTGAGAAACTGCCGAGAGGTATGGTAGTGGCAAAAAAAGAAAAAAAAATCAAAAAAATCCAAAAATTAAAAAATTAAAAAAAAATCAAAAAAATTCAAAAAAAATTCAAAAAAATTCAAAAAAATTCAAAAAAATTATAAAAAATATGGCGTCCGAATACTCGAGTATTCGCCTGTGAGCCTGGGAGTGTACTCGGGTACCTCATTACACTGTTGTGCACAGCCCTACTTATCAGTATAAATACTGTTCTCAGCTTCTCTCTGGGGGCCCTGCAATTACTGTACATCTGACTACGGTACTTCATAAACTTACAGAATGCAAAATGTCCTATTTCCTACCACTGATATTGTGATACAAGTATGTTCTGTATGCTGTGTGCAAAAGCAAGCAAGTTGGAGGAATCATCTTACGCTTATTCCTTCATGGTGCTTCGGTAGCACTTAGATATAATTAAATGGTCAAACTAAAATGTCACGTTATAACCTTAGCGTGACAGTTCTAGCAAACTTCTGACGTGTTTATAATCAGCGTACAAATGCTTTTGCTTTATTTTCATGCTAAGATAACATCTTATTTTTTATTCTAGGACAAGTACCCCTCCCCCAGGACTATGATACCTGTACATGTACATACCTTCTCTATCGGATATTTTCTCTCCAAACTTTGTCATGATGTTGCGGAACTCTGAAGCCAAGATGAAGCCTCTGTTTTGGGTGTCTGTCAATCTGAATGCATCCATGATCTCCTTGAAAGGGTTCTCATTCTTATGCTGCTCATACATGATCACCAAGAAGTCACTAAATGTGATCTTGTCATCTGCAGAGGAAAGATATGTGACAAATATTTGAATTCTAAGTTGTTGCTTTATTATCTTCAGGAAGAGACATACATGTACACATCATCCAGGTGACTATGAATTCTTTCACCCCTTGACCTACGACCAATTTATGAATTTGTTGACATTCAGGGGTACTGGCGCTGCTCAGTGGCTGCCGGGCTCAATTGGGCAAAAATAATTTCCATTTTCGGTTTAACTTAATAAAATTTGGAGTGGACTTTAAACATTATTATTATTATTATTATCTCCTTCTGGGCCACCATGCTTTATAAACTGGCAGTTGTCTTTCCTACTTTCAAGAGTGAAATTTTCACTTAAAATGCTTAGTTTCATAACTTTCAAATTGATAAATTGGATAAACAAAATCTTCCTTAGATAGACTGTGCGTTATGTGCAATATTTATGGGAAAAAAATGTCTTCTTTATTCAAAGCCATAGAAAAACACTCCCAAGTTTTGGGCAGGATTAACACCTATAGCATTTAAGGGGTAAACTGATATTCTTCACAGGATCTCTAATCACTCTATGTTTGGAATACAATACTTGTTGCTGTGCCCAGCAGGGTTCAAGGAAAGATATGGGCTTTGAGTGGTTTAAGCACTGGACTAAAAATGTAAAGGTCATGGGTTCGATCCCTGACATGGCACTAATGTCTTTGGGCAAAACATTAATCTACATTTGCCACTCCATAACCAGGAGAGAAATAGGAACCCAGTAGGATGAGAAAAGCCTTTGTGATAGAAATTGCCATTATATACCCTCATGGTGACCATATGGTAGGAATACTGCCCAGGGATTGGAAACTGTGCTCATTGAATCCCATGACTGGGGAAATTATAATATCTGTAAAGCGCTTAGGGAGGGTATTCCGTATGAACAATGAAGTACTATATACATGTAAATCCAGAGTCATTATTATTATACTTTAAAAGAATTCATTAAGTCAATCTTTACTTGAAAACATCGAAACTTTTAAAGTAATAAACAGGATTTTATAAAATGGTACAAAATGAAAAAGAAATAACCATATAATTGTGGATCAACTCAAATCAAATTTTACTACTAACTTTTTGATCTACACATACATTACTTCTATGTTTACGTCAGTACCTCCTATAAGATTGCAGCTTGGGACATGCCAGTAAAATTACACAACGCCCATGGAGTACTCACTTGCTTCATATTGCTTTCTGTAAGCTTTGATTTCTTCTATCGAAGGGTTCGTACCAAGCGACCTCATAACTTTTGTCAGTTCATCTGCAAAAATATGCCCCTTCCTTGTCTTGTCGTAAAGGGCAAAACACTCCTTATATTCTGCAAGAAAAGGAAATATTCATCATGATGATCAATCTCTAAAATGGAAAATAATTCAATTATCTGTTTAGCATGTGCAATATATTGAATCATCCCAGCATATACATCTATGTAGGGATGTTTTGTGGAAAACAGGACAAGGAAATTATGTCAAAATTCTAAAAAGAAGAAAGTTTTCCAGAATGCTAGGAACACACTGTACACCAAGATCTCCTATCTACAAATTCATGAAATATGGATCTGGAGAAAATATGAACGAGTAAAGTCATACCCCCCTGCCACCTCCCACACAACATACATTGTACACTCACAAGTTACAACCACACACAAACTAACATTTGATGAATGCAATTTGCTCCCAAAACTCCCCTTTTTTATCAAGGAAAATAAAAAGATCCACTAAGAAGTAAGAACAAGAACTAGGCCTATATCTATATCTATGACATTTTAATCACTTAATTCACTCAAACGCAGTCTTCAAAAAAATTATTTAATTTTTACCAAGCACAGTGCACTCTAATCAAATAAATAAAATCTTCTTAGCATACATGTCTAATATATGAGTTAGGCCTACAAATAAATACAATATTATTAAAAAGAGAACAAAACTATCAAAACTTCATCTAAAACGCAATTAGAGAACAGAACATTCAAATTTTCATTAAAAGGGATTAAGAGCAAAAACATTCAAATTTTCATTAAAAAGAGATTATGAGAACAGAACATACACATTTAGGATTTAAAAAAACAGTACAATAAAAATAATTGATTTTAAATGTTTGGAGAGTAGCTAGAATAAACTCACCAAACTTTCAATACTGCTACACTACAACTACATCATACATGTACATTTCAGACAAGAAATAGATCTAGTCGACTACCGTATAGGAGTATATGATGGGGGTGGGTGACCGTGTCCAGACACTACTGGTATTTAAAACATATTATTAAAGCCTTCTCTTTTGCCTTCGGATTGAAAGAAAATTAGAAAATAGTCATCAAATAGCACTAATCATCATGAATATTATTCCTTTATAATATTGTCAAACAGTACTATAAATACTATATTAAAAGGACACAAGTCCTGGAAGATTTATGAAGTTTTGGCATAATTAATGCATTTTAAAGTTTTTATGGCATTCCATATTTGCATGTTACAACGTCTTCAAATTGCTGTTGTAAATCAACTGTCCGGACTCCGGACAGTTGATTATTGAACAGCATAAGAAATTATGTCATATTATATTTCAGAACACGGTATTATTGACAACAAAATTGTACTGAAATTGTTTTTCAAAGACAATAATGCACTGACAATGTTCAAAAAGTGGCAACGCCCAATTTCAAAACACGGCTCCGAATACGCATTACTGAACGATGAGTAAACTTGCTCCGCCCGGCCCCGTACGTCTGGCGTGTGCTGGGCGGCGCCTCGGCAATGTATTCCCATTCTACCACTTTTCTACCACTTGTCTGCTAGCTAACCAATAAATCCACTAAAATTACTTACCGTCGATCTGCTTTTGCGTGAATAACTGGGCCTGTAACAAGGAAGATATAAGGAATACAATTAATATGATATGTTCAATGGTTGTCAGAATAAAACATTAAAATTACATGAAGAGTGAAATTTTCTTACCATGTTTAGTTATGGTTGATGTTGAGGAGACGAAAAAGGCGTTTGGAAATGATCGTGTCAATGAACTTTCGGGTGAACTCTTAACTCGTCCGCAGACATAACACCCCAACAATTCAGGCTAGCGATCGCGGGGCCAGTTTTTTAATCGTATGCAACGTATACAGTATATGCACAAATGGCTACCATGAAGTGAGGGGCGAAGCTACTGTAATTTTTGTCAAGAAGGGGCACTTGTTAACAGTCGAACAAAACTTTAATGCATTCATAGTAGGCCTATATAGGGGAATACGCACTATATAAGAATTATAATATTTGTCCCCCTTTTACCCCCAAAGTTTTATAGTGCGAATATCTTTCGTTGAATCCGAAGGCAAAAGGGAAGGCTGTTTATAGGGGGTTTATAGTTAATGAGAGATCCAATTATTTTAGTTTCTTTTTATTTGCTCAGTGATTAGATGGTCCATTGTCTTCAAGGTAACATTTGATTCATGAACACAACAGTAGATCTACTCTAAAAAAAAATATTAGAACAATTAAACAAAAAATATATATATGGTATCATGCAGGACAATTACCCCTAGACAAATCACCCCCCCCCCCCCCGGAAACTACCCCCAAAGGACAATACCCACCTTAAAACATAGGACAAATACACCCCAAGGCAGGCGCGTACGCAGGATTTTTTCAAGGGGGGGTTTTAACATTTATAAATTGGGCGGAAAATTTCGCAACGACTCAGCCAGCCGCTGAATAAAGGGGGGGGGGGAGGGGGGGAGGGGGGGGGGTAAGAGGTCACTTTTTTTTTTTTTTTGGTCCCAAAGAAAATCGCAACGACTCAGCCGACCGCTGAATAAGCGGGGGGGGGGGGGGGGGGGGGGGGGGGGGGGGGGGGGGGGGGGGGGGGGGGGGGGGGGGGGTAAGAGGACACTTTTTTTTTTTTTTTGTATCGAAATTTGAAAATTTGACATTTTGCTCCGTTGGGGGGGGGGTAAGGTCATCTTTTTTAGGTCAGCCAAAAGGGGGGGGTTTTAGGGAAATTTAGGGGGGTTTACACACAAAAAAATACCAAAGGGGGGGTTTAACCCCCCAAACCCCCCCCCCCCCCCCTGTGTACGCGCCTGCCCCAAGGACAATCAAGGACAACCACCCCCGAGAACAAATACCCCTCTCCCCGAAATCCCCCCCCCCCCCCAAAAAAAATGTCCGGTTTGAAGGGGTACTTTTCACGCAGCAAAGTCTGTCCTCTCAAATCTATAGAAATTAACAGCGATGCCTCTCATAGCAGTCAAGCAGTCATCTTACTCACACTGTTGATGTTCATGCCCAAAGACTATATTAGGCCATACGCAATCGCATCATGATCACGATTGACATAATGATAATCTATTAACAAAAAAATAATAATAATAACATGATAATAATAAGATACAGATCCCCAGGTAAAAGAGTCCACAAGACAATTTCACTCCTCCCCCCCCCCCCGATGCGTCGTGGATAGAAAAGAAAAGTACATGTTTGAAATATGATCAATCTTCTAGACTGAAAAATTGGTCACAGATTTAGAATAGGGATAGGGCCTTGCCCTATATTTACGCCCATTCAAATCGAAAAATCATAATTCGATGTCTAAATCACGATGGAAGGAGAACAGACATTCAAAACAAATCAAATTATTTTGAAATGAACTAGGGTAAATATTGACCGGCGTAGATACATGTTCCTGTCCCATTAATGCCCTATTTGCCCCCCCCCCCCCCCCCCAACAAAAAAACAAAACAAAACAAAACAAAACTAAACGACTCATTTTATGATGATGCAATCCCAAATGATGTGAGGCGAGTTATCTGAAGGCGAGTTATTTGGAGGAATTTGTGCTACCGCTAACGACAGCGCTCGTAGCTAGCTAGCTCCAATTAATGCCAGGGACAGCTTCGGGGATGAGAAGGTCGTCTGGCCGTATAGCGTTCACCTTCGCTTCAGCGCTAGCGCTCTAGCGCACTTCTAAATCGTGCACGTGAACTGAAGATCAGAGAAGAACGAACTTGTCAGTGCAGTGTACGACAATCTTACTCAATTATCATCTTTTCAAGCTGCTATTGTCATTCAGAGGTCATAATTACATCAGATATTGTGAACAGAGTCCACACTTCAATCAACGGGAGTGAACGTAAGTGAATTTAATTACCTTTTCTAATTCTAGAATAATTAATAAACTTTCAAGATTTTATTTTTAATTAAAATTTTAAAAAATAAGGATAACATACAAGAAAGGTTAATGACATGTTGCACTACTGACTGTGTCTGGCCTGGTCTAACGATAGGCACTTCTGGTGAAATTTATTTCAACAGTTTAACTTTTAATGATGTTTGGCTGAAGAAACAGTCCTTCAGAAACAACACAAACTTTGTATTTTTAAAATTGGTTTAGATAAAGCCACGTTAATGCAGCTCGATCATAAGGCTGTTTTCTGGGCAACTCCGGGAAGCTCCGACGACGTCAGAGCTTCCCGGAGTTATTTTCTGGGTAGATAAAAGGTATTGCGTAATCTTTTTATTTTCCCTGTTTTTTACGGTATATAGACTAGATTCTAGTGATGACTGATGGCAAAGCTACATAAACTTCTACAATACATGGTCTAGATCTAGTATAGAGAATATTCATGTGCGTGTGTTTTGTACCTAACCTATCTGCCTAGACCCTAGGTTTATAACTTTAATGTTCTTGTGAATGTGTGGCTGCATTGTGAGCACTCCAGCAAAGCATAGAGAGTCAATGCTAATGCATATTGACCTCTAGCACTGCACTACAAATAGGCAGCATTTGAATATTTACATGAATAGACTAGTCAATACACATGCACACAATCATGCCGATGCGGCTGATCGGCAAGTTGAAAAAATTGTATTTTACTGCTATTTAGGTGTCCTTCAATTTTCACTAAAGTACCGATTTTTAGTGAAATTAGTTGGGTTTTGTAATTTGTACAGTGGTGTTTGAAATGTTGAGAATCAAAAGCACAGCTTTTAAAGGCCCACTGCACTACTTGTAGCTACTTGCGCCCTCTATATAACAACAATGCTTAATCGGTGACCATTGGTCCCCCATGAACCTCTTTTTCTTATGTTAACTGAGAGCTGAGTTGATGAGATAACCACCTGTCCAGTGACCTTGTAGGGCGGTCTAATCCCTCCTGTAAACTATGGCAGATAAGCTTTAATACACAGCCAGGATAGTAATGCACCTACAATGTATATCTATGTGTGGCTGTCAGGTGTTTTAAAACAGAGTCGCATGAAATGTTGTAATTGATACATTGTAGACTAAAGAGTATTATTACTGGTAGTATCGAGATCCTCATTAAATTCAGGGAAGTAATTCACAATTTCACATTAAAGATAAAGGTGAGTTCTGGTAATGCAATTGCATTGTTAACAGTGAAAGAAAAGATGTGGAATGGATCAGAAAAGTTGATCATGTAGCATGTAAGTATTGGTGTCCACTTCAAGGTTCTGGAGTCATCAAAATCATAATAAATTTGGCCCAGTCTTGGTAAAGTAACGAGCACTGTACAGAGAGAGATGTATATGGGACTACACAAATGGTGTCGGGGCTAGTACTACCTGATTTTCTTACCTTTCTATGCTCATTACTCAGCTAATATACATTTCCTTCCAAAATTGTTTGGCACATGAGATTTATTTGTAATCTTGAACATTCAGTGTATGTTTTGTTTGATTCTGAGAGAATTCATTTTCTTTTTTTTACCAGAACTCAAATTTATCTTTAATTATTGCACCACATGTTTTAATAATAGGCATCAATTGCACACATGAATAGTCAGTACACTCACGATTTTAATTTTCAAATTATTCTTCTAACATCGGTAAGTTGACAAAATTGCATTTTACTGCTATTTAGGTGTCATCAATTGTCACTAAAGTACCGATTTTTAGTGAAATCAGTTATTGTACAGTGGTGTTTGAAATGTTGAGAATCAATAGAACAGGTTTTAATACACAGCCAGGATAGTAATGCAGCTACATGTATGTGTGGGTACTAAGTAGATCAACTTAATTTTTTTTGGTGACACCAATTTTTCTACTGACACTACTGTGATACTGCATGAGCTCCATTATTTGTTAAATGAACTTTAGTTTTAATATTGACAGTTTGACTTAAAAACTTTGTTTCATTTATGAATTTTATTAGGTGCAAAGTAACTTCCATGGATATAAATTTCATATCAAGGGAACCATTTCTTACTCTAGAAGAAGAATGTGGACCTTGTCCAAAGTCCAAACATTCTGTTTAACACTCAAATTCTCTGATATTTGGATCCTCTGAATGCCACTTAGAAGGGTTTATACAAAGTATGGTTGATCAACATTATTACTGCACAAGTGTGCACAAGTGTGTAGGTATCATGCATGGTCCAGCGTATGGAATCTCTAGAATATTTACTTACAGTTTGCGGATATATATATACATTTTACTGTAATAGTTCCAGTGCTTGCCATGTGTATTGAACTTTCTGGAACCAGTATGCATTAACATTTACAATGTATAACAAGATATTTGAGTTCTTGGATCAAAGACCAAATGTCATAGAGGTCAAGTTACCTAAAATTGTGATGAGGTGTTCCTTTTCTGATTCCATAATGCAACAGTGCTGTGATTTGACAAAATTGGATTCAGCCTGTTTATCAAGTAGTGTTGCTTGGAGATGAATGATTTAAAACTGCAACGCAATACTGCGAGTTCTTGAGGTTTCTCAAAATAGCCCACAAATTACATGGATACAAGTACCTGCAAATTAGGGGAAAAGAGAGATGTTACTGATTAACATGACAGAGATCTACTGGAGTTAATTACAATGTACAAGTATTGCATCAGTGAAAAGCTTGAAATCTCAAGTCTTAACAGATGTTCTCAATCAATTCAACAACAGCATACAGAGCTGCCAACCATTTTGATTTTATTGTATTTCGTACGTTTTTTAGAAGTAAATACGACCGTACGATTTTTCTTCAGTAAAATAAAATTTTCAACCAAACAAAAAATCATGATATTTGAATGTGCTTGGGTATTTTTTGTGTGCCTTTTCCAATAAATTGCCCTTTCTTTACTGTAAAGTATTCTACAAGTATCTCGCATCAGCAATTATGGGATGTTCATTGGTTCATCGAACACACCAGTCATGACGAAATGATAAATCATGCATACCGGTATTCAACCATTACCAATGGTCCTTAAAAAATATTTTTCGTTCATTGGTTCATTTGGCTCATTGGTTCATTGAACGATCTTGCATATTCAACAAAATGTTTGTAAAATGTACTCATGCATAACTCTTCAAAATGTTGACGAGCACAGTCTAACAAAAAGAAAGTACTACCGTTATGGGTAATCGTTAAAAAATAGGATTCTATTTTGAAGATAGGATTTTGGGGGGAAAAGAATAGGATTTTTGTTCAGTTGGGGTTGGCAGCTCTGAGCATACAATACATTGTACCAACTTGTATTGTATTACAAGCAACAGGTCACAGATTATAGCAGTCAATTGCTTGAGTGACCTTGACCATTGTGACATTCTTGTGTCCTCTTCAATCATGTTTCGCCAATTCTCACTAATACCTGTAATGTATGGCAAGACAATGCTATATCGACTTTATGTATTGAACAGCTATAGATCCATACAAATAAAACAGTGTGTTTACATTACAAAAGTCCAAGTGTAGTATCTCCTTGATACTGCACAAGTCCAGGGTCCAAAGCACTTCCCTCTCTGTATCTGAAATGGCAAGTTTTGAAGTGAATCAGCATTATTTACAACACGTGCGAGGTACAATGAAGCTCAAAGTCAAAGTCATCTACCTACATGTTACAATGTGTACCAATGAAGGAATACATTGATGTACGCCCTCTCAATTCTTATCCTCAGATTTATTGCAGCAATAAAGCATAATTATTTCATTTTAACAATCTCCACCAACTCAATGCGACCTCCCCCTACTTACTAGCTGCCAGCCAAAGATGGCCTGATCCTTAAATTAGGACACCCAGGAGTTCATTGATCTTTGGCGGCTTAAAAGCAAGTGTAGGAAATATATACAGAGAGATAAAGAACCAGCCAGATTCTGTACTACATATTTATGAGAACACATCTTTATAAAGGTAGGCATGCTTTTCCTGCTCTTGATAGTGCATGCAGTTCAGAATCACAATAGAAGGATATAACTTAGGATGTAACTTTTAAGAGAATAAAAAATTAAGTCATGACACAGTACAGCCTTTAATCCTTGGGTTTGTTTGACTGAATGCACCATAAGGTGATTATAAATTCAATTTGATAAAAAATATATACATGTATATTAGCCCCCCCCCCCCCCCCCCCCCCCATTCCACTACAATCATTTTTAGCCTGGTTTTCCATATATGGAAAACCAGGCCATTTCCTCCATGGTTGAATTCTATTGTCCACCGATAGATGTTATGGAAATGTAAGTGTACTATGGTGCAATAACTCAATTTCAATAGAACCAGTAAGATTTTCAAATGCAAATTACTGTAGGTCTATCACTTTCGCTCTACAGGTATGTCTACTTTTTAAGTTATTATTTGTGAGCTGTGATGTGATGATGATGATGATAATAAATGACAATGCCACAATGGTGATATCCAATCCTGGAATTTATAAAGCGCCAATATCTAGTTGCCTATCGTAATCAAAGGAATTTTTTTAAATATTTTTTTTTGTATTTTTTTCTTCTTTTGTATCATGATTTTTTTTTCTCCTAAAATAGATAGTCCCTGAGATACTAATCTCATTTGACACATCTTGTCAAGTGTTTGTTTTCATTTGAATATTACTGTAGTTTGGGTACTCTGCCTGGGAGGTGGTATTCTCTGTATTTTTAAGATGAGAGATGGGCTTTTATCCCTCACACCCTCCCCCCCCCCCCACACCTTTTCACCTTATATCAGTGCTATAGTCTGTAGGTGAACTCCTAGTGCCTATTGTCTGGCACCAAAACAATGAAAGGTAATTATGAAAGTCATCAGATAGGTTACGATAACAAACCAATCCCTGTTGTTCTCATCAATTATGACACAATAGATTGAAAGCGAACTTGGGACTCAGAGAGGAGAGCCAGCTGTCACCAGCAAACTGCCTTCATGTAAGGTGTTCTAGTATGCAAGGTGGAGAGGTGAGCATAGGAGCTCAGGAGAGTGAGTCTAGGAAACCTTATCATCGCGTACCGCTCATTGAAGATCCTCACATGGTAGAGGTGTCCGTTAGTCTCAAGGGTGATGGCAGGCCAGCCAGCCAGATCTCCTCATCCCATGTAAGTTCGAATTTCATACTTTGTTTTACGTTTTTTGCTTTATTTTTATGTTTTTTAAATGTTTTTTTGCTTTAGTTTACAGTTTTGGGGTTTATTTTACGTTTTTGGGTTTATCATACGTTTTTGGGTTTATCATACGTTTTTTGCTTTATTTTTATGTTTTTGTGCTATGATTTATGTTTTTTGCTTTATTTTACAGTTTTTATAATAACAACATTCTTATTTCATATTCCATGTTGAATTTGAAGAGATACAAAGAATGTCTCTTGTGTGTTTCTTTAGTAATTAATACACCATTTTTGTAAAGTAATCAAATTTATCTGTTACAAGTAATTGTATTTTGATATTGGGAGTGCATATTACATACATTAATTGTTGCTAGGTAGGACAAACATTATGGTTTGTTCTACCTAACATCACTGAATGAGGCACTTTATATAGATTTGTGCATTAGTTTTGATTACAATTTGAAATGGCATTCTTAGAATGAAATATTCACCTGATGTCAAATATGGCATCCAGTTTGAATATGGTGCATTTCAAGAAGAAAATGGACCAACATTTACTGCACATCACAAATGGGCTTCTCTTAGATGAGAAATACTGTTTGACAAAAAGATTTGAAGGGTTCTTTACCCGGTATCTCACTGAAATAAAATCTCAGAATTCATTATCAGAATAGTGAGAAACCACCCTGCGTATTTGACCATGAAAATGCACTTTTGCCATGATATTCTCATATTCCAGAAACGATGCATTTATATCCTTTCTTTTAAAGGTACTATGTCCCTTTTGCAGCCAACCTCAAATTCTGTAGAACTTTGCAGGAATTATGAATATGTCAAGTATGTCCTATCTGTGAAATTTAAACGTTAGCAGTGTCCTCATATTCAAATTATGCAAGGAAACCCGTTTACTTGCTAGACCTCACTGTCAGACACTATTGAGTGACTGACTGGCTTTTTTTCTTCTTTCGTAATAACATACATGAAAAGAGTTGTAAAGGGTACATGAGCATTTGTCTACATCAATAACCCACTTCTTGTGATGGCCAAGATTAAACTGATTGAATCTTTGCGCAGCATAAAACGTATGACCATTCGGTACAATTGTCTGAAAATCAAGACTATTACTTTTGGGCTCTATAGCCCTAAAGTCGTTTTGACAACTAATAGTCATTATTTTCCCACTTGAAGACATTTTCAAGCCCCACCTTTTTTAGGGAAGTTCTAAATAAGTATTATCTTTCAAATGCAGTTGGAATTTAACTTTTTCATTTTTTTGGCCTGCAAATGGGACATAGTACCTTTAATACGTGCAGTTCCCTCTGCTTTAAATTTTTTCCATCTGTGTGATACAGATTATAATCAACCAAATATTCAATTTTGTTATTTTGTATACTGTAGAACCAGTTGCTAGAATTCAGTATTATATGGAGATGCAGTATTGATTAGTAATGTGATCAAAATGCTGACTAGTAACTACAGTAGTAAGTATTCATTGTATATATCATTGTTGTCACTTCAGGGAAATGTTTGGCGTAAGATTGTGTCTTCCCTGCTGGCTGGGGCTGCCGCAGGAGCCGTGGCCAAGTCCGTCATCGCTCCATTGGATCGCACAAAGATTCTCTTTCAGAGTAAGTCAAGTAGACTATGGTAAATAATAGGGTTGCAGCAAGGTTTGACCAAGTCTGTCGTTGCTCCATTGCTTTGTATAAAGATTCTATTTCAGATTAAGTCAGATAAACTGGATATGTAGCTCTAATAGTAAGGGAGGAGTAAGGTATGAACAAGTCTATCATTGATCTTTTCATCTACACAAAGATTCTCTATCAGAGTACACTGTAAGTCAGGTAGACTGGATATGTAGCTCTAATAGTAAGGGAGGAGTAAGGTATGACCAAGTCTGTCGTTGATCTTTTCATCTGCACAAAGATTCTCTATCAGAGTACACTGTAAGTCAGGTAGACTGGATATGTAGCTCTAATAGTAAGGGAGGAGTAAGGTATGACCAAGTCTGTCGTTGATCTTTTCTTCTGCACAAAGATTCTCTATCAGAGTACACTGTAAGTCAGGTAGACTGGATATGTAGCTCTAATAGTAAGGGAGGAGTAAGGTATGACCAAGTCTGTCGTTGATCTTTTCATCTGCACAAAGATTCTCTATCAGAGTACACTGTAAGTCAGGTAGACTGGATATGTAGCACTAATACAGTAGTAGGGAAGTGTATGACCGAGTCTGTCAAATTACCTGCGTACATTTCTTACATACATGTATATATTCACACATACATGTATGAAATGTATATTAGCACTCTTATGGGGCGTTGCAAGAAAGTTGTGATTGATTGCAAGAAGTTGCAACTGATATTTGCAATCGGTTGCAACTCAACTTTTTTGCAACGCCCCACCAGTCTCCTAAATTTCTAAGGATTTTGTTAGGATTGAAGTTTTAACAATATAATTAAGTTAACTAGATCTAGCTTTTATTCTCCCCTTCTCTATCTCTCTCTCTCTCTTGCTACTGGGGCATTGCAAGAAAGTTGAGTTGCGGTCAATTATAAATTTGCATTTGATCGCTAGACTTTGGCTTGATTTTGGGGATTTGCAATTGATTGCAACTTTCTTGCAACGCCCCATTCGTACTGCAGTTGGTCTTACACGTTTTGTTTATTTGTCTGTGTTGTTTGTTTCTTGTTTAGCATCAGACATGCAGTTTTCAGCTAGGAACGCAGTGGGTGTCCTGAGGGATGTGTACCAGAAGGAAGGATTGGTTGCGTTATGGAGGGGCAACTCCGCTACATTGGTCCGAATTATCCCCTATGCTGGGATCCAGTTTGCAGCGCATGAACAGTACAAGAAACTCCTCAACACGCACAATACACAGTAGGTGCTTTGTCATCACATGTTGCCTAGCATATTATGATTGCAAGTTGGGCATATTACAATTTTGGATGATAAATCTGATATAATTCTTGCAAGCAGGACGATGGATAGTACCAAGGCACAAGGTCACACTATTCTTATTTTCTATTATTTATCACAAATAAATCATCCATTGGTGAAAGAAGGGAACCTCATATTATAGACCAACTTTGAGCAGTGAAGAGAAGAAAAAGACCCCTTCGATGTTAATTTTTAAGGATAAAAACAAAACATGTATATATGTTCCTCTGCCGGGTCTGCCCCTCTGTTGGGAACAAGTTGAAAACCTGTCAAAACAAATTTTGTAGAGTTTTCAACAAGCAGCTATTTGATTAAAGATTCCTATTTATGTGATCTCTTAATATATTCTGTTATTTTCTTTTTAAATACCATATTATATTGCCTGCCTTTGGCTTGTTTCCTATTGGAAAGAAATGGAATCTAAATCTTCTTTACCATCCCAATTCCTCCATTGCCAGGAACCTGAACCCGGCTCGTCGGTTCATGGCAGGTTCTCTAGCTGGTGTAACAGCTGCATCTTTAACCTATCCATTAGATGTTCTCAGGGCTAGAATGGCTGTCACTCATAGGACAAGGTATGTCACCCACATAGCATCATAGATTAAAGCCCCACTGCACTACTTATAGCTACTTGCGCCCTCTATATAGCAAACAATGCCTAATCGGTGACCATTGGTCCCCCATGATCCCCTTTTTCTTAGGTTAATTGAGAGCTTATTTGATGAGATAACCACCTGTCAGCGACCATGCAGGGAGGCCTAATTCCTCCTGGCCAAACTAGTGCAGTGGGGCTTTAAGCTTACTGACATATCTATTAGATGTACCCATGGTTTAATGTTATTTAGTATGAGAACTGTTGAAAGAGACAGAACTGTTTAATCAAGGAAGTTGAATCGGAATATACAGTGTGTTGTTCAGGATACTTTGGAAACATTTCAGTTCATATGTGAAGTCGTTATCATTATTAAAGGGATCTGGTAACTTTGTCTTAGATCCTTTAAAAAAATCCTTGATTTAGCTCATGCTGCAATGATAATGATAATGATAAACCTTTAAGTCAGTCAGGAACCCCATGAATTTTTCAAGCCAAGATATTTATGATTGGAAATCAAAATTAAATTTTCTGTTTTCCTAACCGTTTTTATAACACTACAGTCAATTTTTGGGAAAATGAGTACGGTTAAACCGGTCATTCAAACATTTAAAAAAATTTAAGGCACTTCATGATCATTTTGAAGCGCAATTTTTTTAGGGCTTCAATATTACATCATATCACAGACAGTGATAACACGTAGGGCCGTGCATCTCAGATTTTACATTGTTAAACGATGCCTTTAAGCTTACTGATGTATCCATTAGATGTACCAATGGTTTGCAAGTTATTTAGTCTAAGAACTGTTGACAGAGATAGAACTGTTTAATACAGAAATTTATATTGGAAAGTACAGTGTGATAGCAGGTTACTTTGGTAACATTTCAGTTCATAATGTCATTATCATTATTAAACAATTCTGACTCTATTCTACAGATCATTGATAGAGAGTGTAGCTACATACAACATAATATGCTATTTTGGGAATGCAACTCAAAAAGATAAGAAGAAGTTAGACGGTACGAGGAGAGTAGCACAACGGATAATTGGCAGTAGCCTATACGTAGTATCCACACTGTATGAAGAAAGAGTAGTTGCTAAAGTCAAACGAATCATGAACGACCCCACCCACCCGCTTCACACTAATTACAATTACAATAGGTCAGGCTTTCGTTTGTGTGTGCCCAGGTCTGCACGAGTGAGAACTCGGCAATCATTCATAGCAAACTCCATCCATATGTACAACGGAATGTCTCAAAGACCCAGTGTTGTACTTTAATATCATATTTAATCTAATTAATAATTCCCAAATTGGTTTAAGACGAAAATACATGTATGGGTAGATTGGATACCAAACCTCCTCAGTATATCAGTATATTTATATTTACCTCACCTGTTAAATCGTTTGATCACCTGACACCTCCTCTTGCTCTGCTTCATTTACTATGTTAACTATTGTTCTGAATTAGTGTTTATGAAACAACATTCGATCCTCTGTTAATCTGTGCTTAATCATATGTTAAACCTTGTTTATTCACGGTTAATGTCTACATTTTTGTAAATACATTAGTAAATGTTAATCGGTATATGTTACACCAGTGAAAATCAAATATCCAGAAATAGACAATAAATACTGAATTGAATTGAATTGAATTAATATGAGACTGGTCAAATCTGTTTGCACTTACAGTTACAAAGGGATCATGTCCATGTTCCTGATGACACTCAGAATAGACGGTGCTTCCAGTTTCTACAGAGGTTTTCTCCCTACGGTACTCGGTGTTATCCCCTATGGCGGCATCAGCTTCTTCACATATGAAACCCTCAAGAAACAGCACAGAGGTGAGTGGTGTGGATCCTTACATGCATGGGAAGGTTAAGGAGGTCATTCTTCGGACTGTTTTGTATTGTTTCATTGAAAGATTAAACACTTACGAGGGGCGTTCAAACAATAAGTTAGAAGCCAGACTATGAAGGAGCAGGTATTCGGTGACGTAATTATGTTCTTTGAATATTTCATGTTTCCCATTGCAGGTGACAAGATTTAAAGCCCCACTGTACTACTTGTAGCTACTTGCTCCCTCTGTATAGAAAACAATGCCTAATCGGTTACCATTGGTTCCCCATGATCCTCTTTTTCTTATGTTAATTGAGAGCTGAGTTGATGAGATAGCAACCTGTCAGTGACCACCCTGGGTGGTCTAATGCCTCCTAGCCAAACTAGTACAGACACGCTTTAAGTTCAGTAGCACCCTGCCTAGGTATTAGAGCAGCTGTTCAAATTGGAGTACCTGGGACTTTAAAACAAAATGACTATGTCAATGGATGTTGCTCAGCAACCTGCAGTCATGCATTTCATGGTGCTCCAGAAGAAGGAGCCCGAGGATATTCATGAGGAGCTGGGGGGTGTTTCACAAAGATCCCAAGTTGAACTTATCTCTTAGTTGGACTTAACAATTATGGAAAGCCATTAGCATCTATGAAAATATTTTGTAAAAGTTATTTTTTTAAAAAGGCATAAAATGTTGATTCATATTTTTTATTATCATGGAAAATTTCATGTTCTTGATGGGGAATTTATAAAAATTCTAAAATACTTGATTTTTCGCTTTTGAATACATTTCATTTTAAGGCTAAAAATGGCTCTCCATTATTTTTAAGTCCAACTTAGAGTTAAGTTCGACTTAGGATCTTTGTGAAACACACCCCTGGTGGCAATATTAGGTGGCAATGCTCTTACCTCCTCCACAGATATCCTTTAGCTTCTTTTTCTTGAGCACCATGAGATTTTTAAGATTTAAAAAATGCCCAGATACAAGCATATACTTGAGTTCTCCACAGTAAGAGGACATAAACCATTGATCAAACAATAAAGAAAAAATTAATATTTTCTCTATTTGTTTATTCTTCAATAGAGTACACCAACCGTAAGGAACCAAGTCCGTCAGAAAGGCTCGCGTTTGGAGCGGTAGCAGGTCTGTTTGGTCAATCGGCTTCCTATCCGTTGGACGTGATCAGACGACGCATGCAGACGGCCGGGATCACCAAGTACTCGTACGACTCTATCCTCAACACGGGCAGGAACATTGTTAAAGAAGGTGGAGTGATTGGGGGTCTGTACAAGGGGCTCAGTATGAACTGGATCAAGGGACCTGTTGCTGTCGGAATCAGCTTCACGGTCTTTGACCTGACCTTGAAATGGCTGTCTCAGAGGCACTTCTTCAGGGACGATCCTTGATGCCGCGTCTGTCGACCCTTGAGGAAGCCATAGGGGTGCGTTTACTCTCCATCCATCGGTGAATCCATCTTTATTGCCAATTTTCGTTCTTTTTTTTAGTGGATCTACCAGTAAATACATTCTCTCCATCCTGCTTGCAATGATCAGTCGGTGAATTGAAAATGAGAACTTCTAGATGCCTCATTAAATATTCATGGATTTGATAGAAATTTAGTTTCGCTGGAGTAAAGAGCCGAGGCCCAAAGCGCAGTCGTGATATGTTCATCGCTCATTTTACAGTTATGTATGCAATTGAAATAATTTTGAACATGAAATCAGGTGAGTTGAATGGCGATACTGTTTCCTAATCATCAGTGGAGCTACATACATACATACAGACTCTGGGTATGTGAGTTTATTGTATTGATTGTTAGTGTTGAAAAATATGCACAAATTGTCTAAATACAAAATATCTGTTATTCTCATTTTGATGATTATTGTTACGTGTACCTCCCAGTATAACCAATGAGTTAATCTATGCAACCTTGTTATGTATGTGGTGATTATATGTTGATATCAGTGCCTGGCCTGCCCCCACTGCAATTTCATATTAAAACATGTGTGTGTAAAGGGAATGCAAAGACGCCTTATGATTTTACAGTTTTTTCCCGTGACCAGAATGTAAGTCATATCTCACCTCCTTTTTTTGTTTTGTTTATTCACTCAGGAAATAAAAAGAAAATTTGATCATCCTTTGTATCTTGCTACATGTACAATGAAGTTGATGACTAATCATATGTACTCTAATAAATCTACCTTCCTGTCATAAAGCTCCCTTTCTGTCATAAAGTGGGTTTAGAAGCAAATATTCATCTTAAGGGGGAAGTCCACCCTGATATTAAGTTGGTTTTATTAGAAGCAGAAAAATGAGAACACAGAAAGAAAAAAAGAAGAAAACGCTATGAATTTTTGAAGGTGCAGTCAATCAAACACAAATTGGCAACTCTGTGACGTACCTAGTAAGGTCCCCTCCCATTTTCCCTGTACTAAATGTTTTTCATACTTTCCCTAAGAACATTATCAATCATTCATTCACCCTAAATATAATTTTTGCCAATATGGTTTTTATACAACCCTTATATGAAACAAATCTATTTTGCATCAATAACTAAGAAAATAAAAGTTTATGACATTTTCTGTAAAGAGCAAATTGTAGAGGAGCTCGCAAGATATGTCATAGTTTCGCCCTTTTGTGTTCCATTGATTACAACTTCAAAAAGTCATAACTTTCCTTCTTTTAGTTGGATATTGCTCAAACTTTCACTAAATTACTTCTTTCAATTTCTACTTTTATTAAAACCAAATGAATATCACGGTGGATTTCCCCATTAATCTGGTGATCTTAATGCTGTATTATGCAAGACAGTTCCGGGTTTTTTGTTTAAAGAGTGCATTGTGAATATGGACGTATGTGATATGCGGATTGTTAGTCTTTATTTTTTACTAATTCATGTAAACATGATCCCGGGTCTAAGTTTATGTTTAAAGGTAATACAAAGTTTTGGTATGGGGTCGTGAATTTGGTTCAAATGAACATATTGGAAGCATATGCGATCCTACAATATTCACTGATCGTTGTCGCGGTCGAAATCGACCCTAAAGTTATTAAATTGTAAATAATAAACACTTTATGTTGTATAACTCCCTCTCAAGGTCAAATATTCATTAAGCTGTAAAACAATGTTTCTTGACTGAAATCGACTGATTAGCTATTCCCGTTCGGAAATTATATACCACAACTACATATTCTGATATTTTCATGGTCGCAGCTACCATTGTACGGCCGTAGGAGCTATTTGAAATTTTTCAAAATTTACCGGGAGCACCGGTAAATCTTTATATTCAATTTTTCTCGAAAGCAGAAGTGTTTTAGGGGCTAAAATTTCTAGTTCTTTTAATTCATCCCCAGAGGCATCCAAATATATCAAAATTGTAAAGAATCACTATCCACCCATTTTTCAAAATTTCCCAAAACTTTGTAATACCTTTAAAGACCCTGTCCAATGAAAATACAACTTGGTATAAATAGAAAACTGAATAAATGTTGAATGTAGAATAAAATTATAAAGGAATGACAAATATTTACCCTTTCATTATTGCACAAAAGCAAATTAAAACCTCATTTTCTGCACCCCTCCAAATTATGGGTCAAATTTGCCGAAGTTACAGTGATGAGATAACACGTGGACCCGATCGGTTCACCTATATAGCTGAGGCGATGAGCCGTGCTTAATAAATGCAAAGTCATTGTGATTATGCGTATCCCCACATAATAGATGATGCCATCCAGTCGATTTGAACAACTTCCGATTTTCAAATCTTTAAATTTTGAGTTTTCAGAGAGCTGATACTCCTCTGACAGACACTAAAATGGCATATGATTGATATCATTGTAATCTATGGCTTATAAGCTTTTCGTTGATATATAATTTGTCCAGTTTATTTTTCAGCTCGGATATGATCTTCAACAAATGAAAACTCAGACCTGGGACTAACTTCCAGATTTTGAACCAAAGTCCAAGTCCATTGTCAGATTTAATTAATTTTATTAGAATAGAAGCTATAGAGTATTTATCCCAACTTCTTTTGGTATTCATTCGTAGGATGGGATTTCATATTTGGCTGCAGAAAGATGAACTCAAGCTACACATATAAATACAATATGCAAGTGTCAAATTATATCTGACTCTCTTAATAGTTACATACAAAATGTGAGCTTACCGGTAGGTTAGCAGCTTTATTACATGATGCCCTTGTTATTTGCTGTTACAGGTTATAGCACTGATTTTTTTTTATGTCTGCTTTCCATTCATGACCCAGTTATTTTGCCTTAAACACCTCTTAGTGTCTGTACATCATCACCTTTAAGCTTGACTGAAATAGAAGAGTATTTCATTATGCATGAACTTGATTGTGTAATTGGGAGTGGATAAGAAGTGGGCAAGGGGCTTACCCTAGTTTTAAAATATTGAGAGTTCATGTTTAACAAGATTGAACTACAAACAACTAAATTATTTAAAAAATCGTATCTGTCTTGAAGGCTCTCTAATTTTGTACCCTTTTTTAAGGGATACACTTCTTGGATGGTTTACACAATGAAGAAGGGGCAATTTTTCATTTACCTATCTCATGCCAATTGGGTTTAAGGGCGATGGGGCATGAGCTGGTTGTACCCCCCAATCTCAAAAAACAAGAGAAAAGAAATATATACATGTATATGCCACTGTGTGGGAGGGGGAGGGGGGTGGTGTTCTTTCACTGATCAGATGGCCTGATAATTATTCAGAGGCATTTGATTGTCTACTGTCTAGATGTGTTTTATTCAATTTGGATCTCTGTACTGAAAGATTTGTGTACATGTATATCATTGTGAAAAACTACCTGAATTGGAATCATCAACTTAACTGTGAATGAGAGTAGACCGGTTAACTAACATATTCAAATGTTATGCATTCTTGTTCTTGACAATTCTGGCCCAATGCTTGCCTGACATAGCAACAAGTTATATTTAGAGATTGGAATCCAAGTATTGTAGTTCATTCATTAGTAACAGGTTAATGGAATACCTCGTCACTAGGTTCCCAGGAAAGAAACATCCATAAATGTTGAATACCGGTAGGTCAATAAACCGGTCTATTCTCGTCAGGCAGAGACGTGTAGACTTATTGGCCCGAATTCACAAAGGAGGTTTGTCGACAAACCTTCGTTTTCGTACGTCATATGACGCGTTTTACGCGTTTTTTACAAACCTGGTTTGTAAAGAACAAAAGGAGGTTTGGCGAAACAAAAGGAGGTTTGAGCTCAAACCTTGGTCTGAGGTCAATCTTGCTTTGTGAATTCGGGCCATTATGTGGCTTCATATATTGACATTGAAAATATCCTCCATCCTGTGTTTTTTATGGAAATTAATTGCATGTTCGACCTCGTTATGATTATTTGCAATAGTTAAATCTCATAAGTTTCATTGAGAAAAAAAAGGTTTCCTTTGAATGACGATTATACAAAGGCCAAGTATTGATTTGAATATTGAAAATGAGAGTATGGTATATGTTACTTCCAATACGTATTTATGAATATATTGCGAATACAAAATATATGGAGTTTATATGTGATAGATTATATTGACATGTTTCTACAATGTTAAACATTAAATGCGGTTGACAATAAATGATACATGCTAAGTGTGTGAAATTGATTCACCTCTGTTCAAATCTTTGTTTTGTTATCCCATCAATATATAAAAATCTCAAAGGTCTTGTATGTTACCAAGTGTACCTAGACCTAGCTGTGTGCCATGAGTTTAGACAGTGAGGGGCACCAGTATTCTGAACAAAGCAAGTTATTGGGGAGGTGTGGTTTGTTTGTTTTATTTATTCACCATGTAAAATAACTATTTACAGATAATAAAATACAATGGGTTACATTGATATATAATACATAGTAGGAACAATGCATAAACAAAAAATGTTTGAAGCGCAACATCCCTAAGTAACATAGTTGATAATTATTAGGTAAAAATAGAACAAGGCGCTCCATGGCGTAAACATGGTTGTTTAGCATCTCCCCCTAAAACATTCAAATTGCTCACTTTGGGGTTACCTTTTGTAGGTGCCCCTTTTTTTCCCACAAAGTGCCCATCTCTCGTTTATGCACCCCACTTTGAAAGGATCTCCACCCTTGGGACACTATTCAAAATGCATTATGGATAGTATAATATTACAGGTCCTCTAGAAAGGAAATACCATCCCGAGGCATACATTTTTGAATAATTTTAGTCATTTTGTCTGTAGGAACAAATTAATGCCAAAAATGGGAAAATTGTCCGCCACTACATCACAGAGACATTACCGATTAAGCCAACTTGAAGAGCCCATACGTATAGAGATTGCAAATTTTTTTTTAAATCTGAACTTTTTCATTTCTTGTCAAATTTCATTCAAACCTTCACCACTCACCAGCAGGCGCGTACACAGAGGTGGGGGGGGGGGGGGTTTGGGGTTAAACCCCCCCCCCTTTGGTAATTTTTTGTGTGTAAACCCCCTCTAAATTTCCCTAAATTTGGATTTTTTTTTTTTTAAATAAAAAATTCCCATGGTTGACCTAAAAAAGCTGACCTTACCCCCCCCCCCCCCCAACGGAGCAAAATGTCAAATTTTCAAATTTCGAGACCAAAAAAAAAAAAAAAAAATGTGTCCTCTTTACCCCCCCCCGCTTATTCAGCGGTCGGCTGAGTCGTTGCGATTTTTTTGGGACCAAAAAAAAAAAAAGTGTCCTCTTACCCCCCTCCCCCCCCCCCCCCCCCGCTTATTCAGCGGCTGGCTGAGTCGTTGCGAAATTTTGGGCCCGATTTATAAATGTTGAAACCCCCCCCCCCCCTTGAAAAAATCCTGCGTACGCGCCTGCTCACCAGTATATACTTATCTGATTTTTCTACTTTCTTCTACAGTAGTTTGCTATCATGGGTGTCGATCCCGGGGGGGGGATGGGGGATATATCCCCCCCCCCCAATATTTCAGGTGGGGGGGGGGATGGCCTGTACAATCATCCCCCCCCCCCAATAATTCACCATAAAAAAAAAATTAAAAATGAAGAGAAAAATTAATGATGAGAGTCCGATGAGAGTAGTTAATGGTTAGTTAATAGTTATTATTCGCAAGATGACCATCAATATACACATTTTGCTATCTCATTTTCATAATACATACATATATACGAAGTTAATAAGACAACCGTATATGAGACAAGAATAAATTGAATTCTCGCTCATACGGCTTCATCTGGAATTGATGAATTAATTCAATTTGTTCAATCAACAGCATCATAGAAATGCAGTGCGTCAAAAGCAACGAGCTAAATGTTAAGCGCGAAGCACAAAAGTAGCAATCTGCAATGCACATCAGACAATCCTGGACAGTGTATACATAGATGAAGTCTGTGACGATTTCGTGATGAGATCGGAGACAAGGAGAAAGATTTTCGGACACTAGTATGACTTATAAAATAGTTCACTAGTTGATATGTTGTTTCCGTTCACCCTTTTTAAAATTGTATCTTTATTTTTATTTTTTTAACTCATTTTATTTCCTGATATTTCCTAAAACATTTTTCATTTTTGGAGAAAGATAATTATGTCACAACTTATTTGTGACACAACTTATTTTCAGTGGGGAAATTTAATTCAGACAAGGATTAATATAGAGAACAGTACAACGAATCGTCTTCTTTCTCTAATAATTTAGCGAACAGGGCAAAGCTGTTAGGGGGGCTACTGAATTCAGACGTGGATTAAGAGTAATAATCAAATGAAACGTGAAAGCTCCCGCGCTACGCGCGGAATGGGCGAAAATAATTACAGACAAGGATTAAGAGTAATAATTTATTGAAACATTAAAGCTTCCGCGCTTCGCGCGGTAAGGGGGGAAACTGAATTCATGAAGGACACGATACAACAAATCGTCTTCTTTCTCTAATAATGTAATAAACTGTGAAAGCTTCCGCGCTTCGCGCAAGAATGGGCAAAAATGAATTCAGACAAGGATTAAGAGACGAGAATGGTACATCGAATCGTCTTCTTTCTTTAATAATCTAATGAAACGTCAGAGCTTCCGCGCTACGCGCAGAGGAAGGGGAACTTCATTCAAACAAGGATTAAGAGTCGAGAATGGTACATAGAACCGTCTTCTTTCTTTAATAATCTAATGAAACGTCAGAGCTTCCGCGCTACGCGCAGAGGAAGGGGAACTTCATTCAAACAAGGATTAAGAGTCGAGAATGGTACATAGAACCGTCTTCTTTCTTTAATAATCTGATTAACGTCAGAGCTTTCGCGCTACGCGCGGAGGAAGAGGAACTTGATTCAAACAAGGATTAAGAGTCGAGAATGGTACATCGAATCGTCTTCTTTCTTTTATAATCTAATGAAACGTCAGAGCTACCGCGCTACGCGCGGAGGAAGGGGAATTTGATTCAAACAAGGATTAGGAGTCGAGAACGGTCCAACGAATCGGCTTCTTTCTCTAATAATTTACTTAAACGTCAAAGCTTCCGCGCTTTGCGCGCGGGGAGGGGTGGGGGGGACTCCCCCTCCCTGCACCCAACCCCCTAGGAACCGCGCTTCGCGTGCTCACTACCGCTCCCCTAAAATTAAATCCTGGCTACGCGCTTGGGAGGGGTGCAACTTGCCACACGCTTCTACCACTTTGGTTGCTTTGATCCATTGCCGAAAATATTTTGGCACCTATCATCCCCCCCAACCACGGATACAAATCGACACCCTTGTTTGCTATCATCTCATAATTACTTTCGCTAAAATACGCGCTTGATTTTGCGCTTTGCGATTTCTAACCAATGAAGCAGAACAAAGGCGGGGTCTACAATTCAAGCATTTTCACTATTTTAGCAACGTTTAAACCATGTTTTCTTCAATACGCTGTTTACTGAATATGTTTCATGCATCTTCAGATATGAATCACTACACGAAGTCAGATCTTCATGTTTGCACGCCGTGGGTCAGTGAAAGCCTTTTAAAAGATTGGGGTCAGATGAGTTTAGCGACAGAATACTAACGGGATTATTTTTGTGTCCTTAGTGGAAACTATTAGAAATGTTTGACAGAATGAAAGGTCACCCTATTTCCCTACCAGTGGCGGGGGGGGGGGGGGTTAACATTTTGAAATCGGGCCGGAAATTTCGCAACGACTCAGCCAGCTGCTGAATAAGCGGAGGGCGGGGGGTAAGAGAACTTTTTTTTTTTTGGTCTCGAAATTTGAAAATTTGACATTTTTCTTCGTTGGGGGGGGGGGGTAAGGTCACCTTTTTTAGGTCAGCCATGGGAGGGGGGTTTTCCTAAAAAATACACTCATAAAAATACCTAAAGGGGGGTTCAACCCCAACCCCCCCCCCCCCCCCCCACCCCTGCGTACGCGCAATGAAAGATGCTACCGGTGAGATAGGTGTCCTCTACATAATCATTCAACAGCTTGGAGAGTAGGTGTTTCAGCAGTGGTATCAAATCTTTTTTGTTGTACATGCATTCTGTTTGTACGTTGATTTGCCGAATAAAATATAATCATAATGAAATCAAAACTCCTCGAGAAGATCAAATTATTAATTTCACTAGCTCGGTCCAAAGCATGTTTATGAGCGGACGAAGTTTCGTATCAACCCTTAATATCTATCATATACATCATCTAAATTTCAAATATTATGCCAAGACGACACAGTCGTTCAGAAAGAGATAATATTTGCGTCGCTGATTAGATGGTGCCACATGAAAAGGATGAGAAAGCTGGCAAACAAAATTGCTTCGTAAAAAAATCTCGAAGCCTATTCCGTCATCCTCCTAAACCGGTAATGTTAGAGCAAACACTATAATACATCTTCCTTCTGACAAAGTTGTTCAAAGAGTGTATATGCAGTTTCTCTTGTTATGGCCCCGAAATATGGAACACCCTCCCTTCTTCTGTCAGCACTCCCACTTTCAATAATATTGATTGACTCTTTTAAGAAGAATTGAAAGACACACCTCTGCAATGGCCGAATGATTATGCAGGAAAACGATTCTGTTTTTTATTTCTTTTCTATTTGCACATTTTTAATTAGCATCAATTTGTCATCTTTGCGCATTGAGCAATATTTATTGGAATTTTCGCTATATAAAAGGCAATTGTATTTATGACTTGAATGTAATAATAAATCGGACCGACTTGGAGTTTAATTTTAGAGGGCTTGAACTTGACAGCTAGTATGGTTGGGCTTTAATAAAATCCAATTTTATTGGCTAAGATGGACTAAGTCTTAACTGGCCTATGACCGTTATATACTCAACATTCAATAGGGCTACACACCAGACCAGCTGGTAAACCTCTTTGGGTAAACCTTAAAACATCAAGTTGAGGTATCCCTAAAACAACGTATAGACGCTTTATCATCTCCGTAATACTTGACAAGAGTGGTGTGATTGATTGATATATTTATTCATTTCATGTAACAATTGTTTGTACAATAAAGAATATAGTTGACAAAGTAAGATCAAAATTATGAAATGAAACAGGAACCTACTGGAAAGCATAGCTTGTGATCAAGGCATCATCAAGCGACCCGTCTACGAACGAAGTTTGAAACCCAGTCGCTTCTTTCGGATGATCACATCTAAAGTCTATCTGTCTGCATAAGACCCGAAATTCGAATTGGCCGCCCGCGTGTCACGGGTCGATCCTGATGGCCATGATGGCACCATTCGTATTGCATTCCTCAGAACCAGGACATCCCCGTAGACAACCCACGAGATCTGCAATGTCGGACGACCCGTAAACCCTCAGAAAAGTTGTCGGAAGGCCAGCGAGTCCGATATGTCGGTCTCATGGGATTGTTGGTCTCGTGGGCCGTTGGTACTCGTGAACTCTCGAACAAATGCGTAGAAGGTCCACCAGACTGACCTTGCATGTCAGCCTCGGGGACCGCACGTAGCCCCTAAGAACGTCTGTTTCCCTGGCCAGGCACGTTTCATCCATGCAGACGTAGCCTTACATTCTCTTCGGAATCGCACATTAACAAAGCTGTAGACGATAGGATTAATGGCGTGATTCACATTCAGGGCAAGAGTTAGCAAATAGACGATCGTAAAACCAGCTTTATTTTGAAAGAGGGCCATTATTAACCAAGTTGGAAAGCACTGAAACACCATGAGCGGAACCCAGGTCACGAAGTAGATGACGGTTATGAGAAATATCATCTTGGAGATTTTGTTGTTTGCTTTAATTCGCTCTCGGTATTTGTTAATGTGAGTATTTGCTGCCACCAAAAATGGGGGATGAAAAGGGACTCGATCACGGGTCGATCGGTATATTGTGCTTATCACTTGCTCAGGTATAGGACTGATTGGGCTACTTTGCGTATCAGATGAAAGTTTTTCTTTGTTTCGATCACCCGATAACATGAAGGAGTGCGTTGTGTTTGATGTCATAGTTTTAACGGTACGGTGTGGTTGCTCATGACTAGACGTCGATGCATCCTCATTCATCCCACCTGGATGTCCAGATGCATGAGGATCACTGATGATTTCCTCTGACTTCCAAGCCACGCGAGTGACTTGAGGTTTGATCCTGTGATCTTTGAAAGCAACATGGGGAATAATTTTCCGCGAATCTCTTGAACCAGTCATTTTAGTTATACTTCCTCGTTTGTCCAGGATGCGCACTTTCTTCCGACCACTTTCATCGAGTTTGGTGTCACTGTATCGGAGGGACCACACCCTAAAGGTCCGTGCTTTATTGCGTAACGTTTTGTATATAGCTGTGTATACAAAGATGATGAATATGAGAGACACACAGTACATTCCAAGGGTGAGGAAACTGTATTTATAAATGATATTTGCATGGGCAGCATCTATGCTGCACATAGAGACGGAGCCATAACGCCTTATACCAGCCGAGAACAGTGCAACTGAACCAACAGCTGCCGCCAAAAGCAAACACACAACAACCGTGATACGGGCACGGCTGGGCGTCACAAACCTTTTCAGTGGTCTACAAACAGCGAAGTAACGGTCGACGGTGATACATATAGTTAGGAACATAGACAGAAATGTCCCGATGAGGGAACAATAATGGGTAAGCTTGCAGAGGTCTGCATTGGTATAATTCTCCTGGTTATAAGACGAATATATCTTCAGAGGCATCAGAAGACACACATAAAGGTCTGCCACACCTAGCGCCAGGATGTACACGTCTGTACTGGATTTGGGTCGTTTACGAGCGTACACGAGGACGATGAGGATGTTGCCTGGGATGCCAACTGTCATGATCAAAGCTCGGAAGGCGATGCCTAATGCCAGAAAGATTTCCATGATAACGTTCGTCCAATGTGCAGTAAACCGAGCTCACAGAATGAAGGACGTCTGTGCCGGATAGAATTCCTATATAAGTAAATTGTGGGGAAAATTGATAAGATCTTCATATCTTGAATCTTGAACATAAGGTTACAATATTTTTGTTAATAATAATAAAAGCATTGTTTTAGTTTTCTGGAAATTTACAGGCCTGGAAGTTATTTTAATCTTTAAATAAAATTTACCGATTTTTCTCTGTTTTAGTGTTCCTCCTTTTCTTTCTTTTTCACCAACGTCTACTACTGATGCAGATTCAGTTCCAGGGTGTATTTTTGTATATTTTATGCGTTATTATTTAAATAATTCACTTGAATACTCTACTATCATCCTCATCAGGAGATCTTTGTCTTTTCTGTGTTATAAAAGGGGATATAATTCCTAAGTTATACAAATAATTGAAGAATAATTTTAGAATTCTATTTATAACTATAAAAGACAACTCGAAGAGGGTTAGCATAATATTAGGTGCTAGGCATTGAAACCGCAGAAAGGAAATCCAAACGAATTTAAATTTAAATGAGGTAGATGCCCTGTAGATAAACCCATGTACGGTAAGTTGTTATCTTTTCAAAGGGTAAATTGGCCAGAAATGAATAAAAGGAAATTCATTTCTACTTTTGGAAATCATAATTTCATTTTCATACGGGCTGTAAAATGTACTTATGGATATTTTGCATAGGAAAAAACTCTGAAGAACATTTCCAAAAACATTACACTATAGATTTACGAGCGTCATCGTGCCTAGCGTTTTTCTTTCACGGAGTATAGAACAGAACAGAAACATTAACGAGATGTCGCTTCACTTTGTAATACCGCTTTGCACTCGAAAGTACTCACAATAAAAAATTGAATGGAAAGCATTTCAAGATGGTAGCACAATAAACATGATTAGTTAGGTACACAAACGGCTTTAACAGGGAAATAGTGTTAACTTTTTTTTCATGCGGATACCTCAGTAAAATTTGATGCTGAAAACGATAGCACCGACTGATTTTTGATTTAAAATGTGTCCAAGGTGCCAACATTTCATGTTTTATGCGCCCGCCATTGTTATTATGCATTTCAGAACAACTTCTTTGGCTAGAAATTTTTATTTGATGTGGAAAACTTGCTATGAATATTTCAATGAAGTATTGTATAGCTTAGCGTTTTTCAACCGGGGTACCGTGAGGGAACTGAAATCAAAAAACTTTTTTTAGATCCATTTTGAAATTAATGCCAATTTCGTGGAAACAAAATATCAGAAACCGCTATGTATTTTGTTGAAGAAATACAATTTTAAAGACAATTAAATGTCTTGTTTTCCTCGTTCGCTTCGCTCTCTCGCAACTTTTTAAAAACAATATGATTTCAGGCAGTGAAGTGCTTGAATACCCCATCATTAGTCAGCGAGCTGCCCGAAAATCGTCCCATTCGGGCAGTAAGGTGCTCGAATATTTTTTCTTCAATATCAAAATTTCATTTTTACCACGTTTGTTCCCTTTGCTCGCTAAGAGCATTTAGAAACAGGATGATTCTGGACAACGAGATGCCTCAATATCCTTATATTCGTGCATTGAGGTTTTTTTTGTCCAATTTTGAAATGATTCGTCAATTTTTTTTTTTAAAGGTATAAATATTTAATTTCTTTATATTGTGTGACTATAATTATACGTACCTAGTTTGTGTTTCACTTTCTATTGATATGTGGACAAGTTTAGAAATAAATTAAAATCAAACAACAACAATTTATGACTTTAGTGTTCATACATTGAACAGCGAGGTGCCCGCATGCATAATAATATTTCTTATATAATTATCTAGTACGTTTTGTTTACAAAATAAATTTTTTACCATACCAACAAAAATATATAAAAAAAGAGTGATGGAAAATAAATCTTCTGTAATGAATTTGGAATAAAGGAGACGCGAAACTGTTTTATTTCTCGAAAGGGTGCCATGAATACAAAGAAGTTAAAAATGCTGACTTAGGCACTTAAAGCCTTTTCTTTATACCTATAGAAGAAGTAAAATTTGCATCATATGAGTTTAATTTCCCCGAGTTCACCATATCATCGGTTTAAAGAGGAAAACAAAAGAAAAAAGTCTTGCGATTAGCTGAAACTATCTTGCTTTCTCGAGCACAATGTCTTTGAGGAAACTGTACAGAAGTCAATTAAATTAACATAATTATAAACAGGTAAAAAATTAACATATTTATTTTAAGGTTTCATTGGGGAGCTGTAGTAAATTTACCGTTTTATTCAATATCTGGCCTGGGACTCGAAAACCACAACCACGCATCCACAATCCGTTGATTTTTTTTTAAACCTCGACTACATTCTATCGCATCATTAATGAACTGTATTATGTCTTGAAATATACGAAATAAACAACATTTACAAATTGGGATGCAACAATGTAAGATGTCACAATCTCCATATTCAATCTTGCAGTCCGTTAATGCTGTCACTAAGTTGTTAAGTAAATCTAAAAGTTGTTGACAATTTGCAATATATACTTACGGGGAATTTCTCTTCCTTCGCTGAAACTCGTTTGATTATGCTGATTAAAAAGGATTGTATCTTCTTTCTTTCCTTGCCTCCTTTCGAGTGGTTTGTGATGGTTCGTGCGGTACGGCGATCTGCTCGCAGAATGATGCATGGATGATATCCAACAGATGCTGGGATATTTCATTTTGTGACTTGCATATCCGGTCCCCTGATTGGCTGTTTAAAAGCTCATGTGCGCTGCTCCAGATAACTTTAGAGGTGATAATGAGAGATGTGATAGGAGAGTGAGAGAGAGAGAGAGAGAGAGAGAGAGAGGAAGGGAGAGTGTGTGAGAAAAGAGATGAACGGGTAAAAGATAGCGGGAGAGTGAACAGAGAGGGGAGAGGGGAAGAGAATGAAAAAGGATGTATGATGAAGAGAAAGGGGGAGGGGCAAGAGAATGTCACCATGCACATCTAAAATTACACACTATCAAAATATCCGGCACTGGTTTCATGGGTACATTTTGCTGCAAGCAGAACCAAAGACGTCGATTTGGGGGAGGGGTATACACCCCCCCCCCCTTTTTTCTAATCAGCTGATCGTGTATTTTTTTCTAATTAATTAATGCTCCTTGAACACCGGGGTGCCGCAAGAAAATGTTAGTTACATAACAACATTTTTTGAGAAAACGTTGATTTTGTGAGAAAAAAAATATCAGAAACGGTTGGAGTATGTATTTTCAAGAGAAAAAAAGAAATATAAAGATAATAGTGTCTTTGTTCCTCGCTCGCTGAAGATATTTTGATAGCAAAGCGCCCGAATATATATTATATCTTTTATTTCGAAATTAAATTGTTACCACACTCATTACAAAAAGAACAAAAATTAATAAGGGCAACCAGAGGCCCGAATATCCTCATATCCTCATATACGTGTATCAAGGTCATGACCGAATATATTACTTTGTATTTAATGTACATTCGGCGGCAAGGTGCCGGCATACAGAGTACTTTAAATCGTTTCTAGTATGTTGGTTTTTCCCATTTTGAAAAATGTCTTCTCCCTTTTAATCCTTGCTTGTTCGCTAAATTTAGAAGCAAATGTACCCATATTATGTGTGTACATAGCACTTGACGAGTGCCAGAGTGATGCAAAATAAATAGTCTGCATGTGAAGCATTTGGGATTGGGAGATATAACGCTGCTCCAGAGAAATGTATTTTCATGCATTTTGAGACGCGCCGGACAATTACCTAAAACGTACATCCTTCGTGGAAAACAGGAACCGCACTGGTGTTGCATAAATAATAATTAAGAGAAATGTGTAGAAATAAGGAAGATAACGTGCTAGTAATTGAACCAATGTGGGTTCATGCATGTGATTTTATGCCAAAATGTTGAACATTTTGAAAATTCTGCCACGAATTCAAGCCTTGTCCCGCATTGACCCTCATCCGCGAACCAAAATCGTGCAAGTGTCAGTGTGCCTTCAGGGTCCCTTAACTCTACCCCCCTCCCCCCTCCCCCCCCCCCTCCCCCCCCCCCCCCCCACTCAGTGTTATTTAGGGTACGCATATGCATGTTCCCTCCTTTTGAAAACACCCCCTAAACAAGTAAAGTCCGGTGTGTAAAGTCAATACGGCCGGATTTTTGTGTACTACGAGCCGGACTTTGGTGCGTGAAAAGTACCCCTTTACCGGACATTTTGGTAACACGCATGGTATCCCTCCGTTCACGGAGTGGGGGTCGGGCTCTAAAGTCTAACCACACCGAGAAACTCTGTTGCATCGATATCAATGCATAAATTATTCATATCATCAACAATAGGGACTTTTAGATTTGCACGTCGACATAGTCGACTGCTACGTGTAACTTCCTACGTCACACGTAGCAGTCCACTATTACTATCCAGTTCAGCCTGAGTTAGGTAGTCTATGTTATTAAGCCTCTCATCAATAACATTATAATTTCATGCTTAGAATTGATCTTTAGAGTATTTTTCCACTGAGTTCTCAGAGATTTGCATGAAACATCAGAGCAAATAATTGGTTCCTCGCAATGTTCCTTAACAGTACACCAGTGTCTGGAAGAGAAGCATTCAAGGTAAATATGTTCCATTTGCAGGCCAGAAAATAAAAAAGGTTAAATTCCAACGGCATTTGAAAGATAAAACTAATTTAGAACTTCCTTCAAAATGAAAGGGCTTGAAACTGTCTTAAAGTGAGAAAATAACGACCATTAGTTGTCGAATCGTCTTTAGTGATTGCAATCACTAAAGTAATAGTCTGATTTTCAGACCCTTTTACCGAATGGTCGTACGTTTTGTGCTGCGCATAGATTCAATCAGTTTGATTTTGGCCATCTCAAGAATTGGGTTATTGATGTAGACAAACAATTAATGCTCATGTACCCTTTACGGCTCATTTTATGCATGTTATTACCAAAGGACAAAAAAGTCAGTCAGTCACTATAGTGTCAGACGGTGAAGTCTAGAAAGTAAAAGGGTTTCATTGCATAATTTGAATATTAGGACACTGCTAACGTTTAAATTTGACAGATAGGACATACGTGACATGTTCATCATC